GTAAATTCAAAGTACAAGACAGTACAGGGTCTGTACATCTGCTTCCTACTTGGATATTTATTTACTATATACACCAAGAGTTTATTTAATGGATTGTTTAAGGTATCTCTTTTGACATATGATTTTCAGCATTAATGGACCAGTGTACGATACGCTCTTATTTTATATTTATTTATTTGTATTTTTCAGAGAAAATGGAAAAACTTTTGGTTAAAAAATCATTTTGGAGCTTAAAATTTCTTTTGATTAATGCATTATATAAGTGTCTAATAAAACATGTCAAGGAGAGTCAGAGAGACATTCTTAGCATTTTTATTTCAAAAAATCAATTATGAATATGAAAAACAATATTGTCTTCTTCTTTTTTTAAATCTATGGATAAAATCTTCAAGAAAAATTTTACCTATGGCAAAAAAAGAAAAAAAAGATAATTTTTCAAAAGACATTGAAATGAAATAGCTTAATTTAAGAAAAAAAATGCTAATTATTCTAGTTTGAATAACAACTCCGACGAATGTAAATCACAAGATTTCACATATCTGTAGCTATATTACAATTAGCAAGTATATAGCTAATCTGTCAAAATTCTTGTTTTGCATGTATGCTAACATAACCAAGAATTTGAACAGATTAGTTACTTGCTAAAAGTAATAGCTACATTTTTATTACTTTTATTCCAACGCGACTTTAAAACGTATGAAAAGCAAGAGAAAACATGGATAAAATATGGATATGCTTTATGGATAATTAATTTGTAGTTAAAATTGATAACACTGCAGAACCACAGTTATCTAAATTCAAATAAAAAGAAAAGGATTCTTTAAATGAATATTGCAATGGTTTGTAAAAATGTCTTTCACAAGTTAATACTACTTTTAAGATTTTTTATAGCACTTTCAACATTCAAAATTTGCTTACCGTATCCATAACAACTCATTAATTCTCTAAGAATTGCAAAAATGAGAAACACTTTCATGACAAACCAATAAGGTTGACTCGTAACAATTCTGGAAGCAATGAAATTGATCGTATTTGAACACGTGCAATTGTGGTCGCCACAATAATAATTCATGATAGGAAATTACATATTTATTGTTTACACAATAGATTACCGCTTTTAAAAAAACAACAACAAAAAATTAATGTCAAATTCACAAAAATGAGCTGTACATTGTTTGATAAACTAGATTTACAGTTTACAAGCGTAAACTATATAAAGTTAAGGACTTTAATCTATATTCAACATCTGTACACCATAGTTTACGCCTCAATCTGTTTTACACGTGAAAACTATACTTTACAGTGAAAACAATTATTTAAGTGTGTTCAACATGGTTAATGTGATAAATACGGTTTCAGATTTAAGAATTTAAATGAGCTATGGTCAACGAATGTTCATTATAGTTAAAGCTATATATGGCGTATATTAGCTAAAAAAAATAATATTTTAATTGAGATCAAATGATAATTTATATTTATCAACAAAAACTATCATAAATATTATTAACAGGCAAATAAACATGGTTGGTTTCGCATTCTTAAATTTCAGTTCATAATCGTCAGATATAGTTAATACAGATTAAAACCATATTTTATAGTTGATAAACCTTGTTTATCGAACGTAAAACCGTGTTTAGCTCATTTTTGTGAATATGGCATGATATACATATGTATTACCAAATTCATGAAAAATGATTCACCCATCAATTGTTTAGCTCTTTAATATATGGTATTTTCCCTCATATTTCCCGATTCATAAAAAGATTTATGCTCAAGAAAAAATGTACAAGTTAAACAAAACTCAAATAAAATTGATATCATAGAAAAATATGAAATCTGGTAAATAAAATAAAAAAAGGAAGAAACATCAAAAGTTTCCTGCTCTAAAGATTATAATTCAAGAGGGATTTGTAATAAAGGCAATAAAAACGTTTTGTTGCAGCAAAAAGTGTTGAGATTGTGTGAAGAATTTCCCCAAATAATCCATTCTCTGTTTGGCAAATAATAATATAAATTAAACTTATCGAAAATAATTTCCTGATATTGTCAGGTATGTTATAACCGTTATAAAAGCGGGGGGCCAACCTTTAAAAAAAAAAAAAAAAAAAAAAATCTGACAAGCATTAAACAAACAAAAAATTCCTGAACTGTCCAAACTGGAAAATCCTATTTCGTTGTATTTCGTTGTGATTGTGTGTGTGCGGGGGGGGGGGGGGGTAACCTTACACTTACAGAAAGATTTTTTTCTCAAATCCTGGATTTAACCAGTCCCCAACCTTTCAGCAACAAAAAGTGTGTGTGAGTGTGTGTGTGGGGGGGGGGGGGGAGGAGGAAGAGGGGCAACCAGCATCTAAATGATAGTTTACTTTAGGAAAATACTATACTCAGAAAACAAGAGGCCCATGGGCCACATTGCTCACCTGAACACTGTAGCCAGGAAAAAAGCAAAAATCAGTTCACCATATAAAAGCTAAAGTGGTCCCGACCTACCCTCAAAAGGGGGGGGGGGTATGATTTGAACAAACTTGAATCTACACAAACTAAGGATGCTTACATATTTCTTTGAATTAACTGTGGCTTTTATCAACATCAGTTTGAACTTTCATTGTGGTCCCACCCTTCCCCCCGGGGGTCATAATTTGAACAAATCTGAATCTACACTACCTGAATATGTTTCCATACAAATATGACCAATCATGGCTGTTCTTAAGAAGAAGTTTTTAAAAAAAATCCTTTGTATTCCTATGTATAACTTTGCTCGTCCATTGTGGCCCCACCCTACCCCCGGAGGTCATGATTTGAACAAACTTTAATCTACACTACCTGAGGATACCTCCGAATAGATAATAACCAATCATGGCTTTGCTGTTCTTGAGATTATTTTTCCTAAATTCTCCTATGTAAAACTTTGATCGTCCATTGTGGCCCCATCCTACCCCCGGGGGTTATGATTTGAACAATTGAATCTACACTATCTGAGGATGCTTCCATATAAATTTGACCAATCATGGCTTTGCTGATCTTGGGAAAATATTATTTAAAAAAAAATTCCTACATATTCCTATGTAAAACTTTGATCCCCTGTTGTGGCCCTAACCTACCCCTGGCTGTCATGATTTTAACAAACTTGAATCTACACTATCTGAGAATGATTCCACATGAGTTTCATCTTTCCTGGCCCAATGGTTCTTGAGAAGAAGATTTTTAAAAGATGCTATTAATTTTTCACTAATTCGTAATTATCTTCTCTTGGAAGAGGGCATGGCCCTTCATTTGAACAAACTTGAATCCCCTTTACCCAAGGATACTTTGTGGCAAGTTTGGTTGAAATTGGCAAAGAGGTTCTTGCGAAGAAGCCGAAAATGTGAAAAATTTACAGACAGACAGACGCCGGTTAAAATGTGATCAGAAAAGCTCACTTGGGCTTTCGGTTCAGGTGAGCTTAAAAGTGCCCCCCTTCCCCGCATTCTACGGACCTGTTTATTATGAACACAAAGTCAGCAAAGTGACATTTTTTCTAAAAATTCAGAGTATAATTTCCCCCTTTTACAAATCAACCAGGAATCAAGGGTTTCACACCCACCTCCCGTTTTAGACTCCTTCAGAGTCTTTATTACTGTGAAATTAATATGTAACAATTATACGTTATTATATACTAATGGGCTGTATTGCCCAAAGTTATATTCTGAATAAACTAACATAAAAATCTTTACACTACAAAGGAAAAAATTCTGTATTGCTTGATACAAATAACAATATATAAAACGTACTTGTCGAGTTTGTCAATCTTTTTTTTTTTTAGGAAAAATGAAACAATGCAATTGCTGGTACGCAATTATTCCCCTTACATTTTATTATTTGTATTCCTATTATCTCAACATTTATGAAGAAATATTTGTAACAGATTATTGTGTACCTCCAATGTTCAGTGTTTTACAGATTGCAACAAAAAGCACGAGGTGGGTGGGGTGGGGCAATTCGGCTGTCAATGAATAATTAACAGTAAAAGATCATTCTCGAAAGAATACCCCCCCCCCCCCCAACAATTATTTTGTGCCTTTGAAAGGAATGACTGTAAATAAACACTATTAAATGATTAGAAATAAAATCAAGATTTAGTCAAACTCATCTCAACAAGAAAGGATATATTTAAATATAATTTTAATTGCATACATGTTTTATCATGATCTCTTGGACTCAGCGTTTCCTAAACTTTGGGTTGAAATTTGCCAATCATTCACACAACAGGACTGCTATCAAATTCTCCCCAAGTTTTATTTTGCTGATGTAGAATTTGTGGGGGGTTTTGACAAGTTCCTTTCTTTCCCTGGTTAATTTTATTTTTCTCTGTGTGTAAATCTTGACACTAAACAAAGTGAAAATATTCCTCAACCTACTCATGGAATGGAAGCTTTTTAATGGCTATCTGATCAAACGATGTCAAGAAATCAGCAATATTCAATGCATCAAGGGTTTATGAGAGTAATTGTACATACAATTCACATGTCTAGAGAACAACAGTTGTCTTTATCTGGGATTAATAAACTGGTCATTTACTACTGAGGTGGCTACAGTATATTAGAAAAGTTTCAGCCTTTTTTATATAGCACTCCCATTCTCAGTAAATTCTATCATGGAATAATGTTTTCTAAAGCATATAAGTTGAAAATATTCATAATTATCCAGCACAGAGAGTTTTATTCATATTAACATGAAGGGCAATAGCTTAACACTTTGGAAAAGAAGAAAAAGTAACACTCAATTTTTTTTAAAAATGAAATCAATATTAATTTATTAATAAATATAGTTCCTGAAATACATGAATTATATATATCACATTATAATTATTAAATTGATGCACATTAGAAAACATTTTATATTGCTTTTATCACAATAACTTGATTTCTTCTATTAAAAAAATATTTTTAAAAATCACAAATCTACACATTACACAAAATCAGTGTGTGATCAACACAAGACATGGTAAGGATTTAATGCAGAATATTGGTTATAAAACGGATATAATATGAACAAAATAATAACTAAAAACTGATAAAGATGGTTATATATATATCTTATAAACTTATTTATGTTAAAACGTAATATAACAGAAAACAACTGGAGAATGGACGGAATGCAGATAAATATTAAAAAATCCAAAAATAATCACATACTAGAGAAAAAAGATAATGTTCTACAGAATAAATATGTGGACCAGCCACACTTCACAATTCATCTAATTGCTGTTCCCACTTTGTCTTTAAGCTTCTGAGTCTCTTTTTCGACTGCGCTTTTTCTTCAGTCTTCCCGCTACAACTTTAGCATCTGCAAACTTCTTTATGGAAGAAATGTCGTCTTTTCTAGGTTTCTCTGTTATGATAAATGATAAAATAACTACTTTCTGACATTAAAATATAATATAATCAACAGTCTACAAGAGTAACTTGGATAAAAATCTTTACTTGCCCTAGAATTTATTTTTATACACACAAAAGGGCCACAATGCTCACCTGAGTCACTATGGCCCTGCTCTTCTTCATCATCAATTTTTTTCCAATATATTCTTATTTAAATCTTTGATCTCTTATTGTGGCCCCACCCTATCCCCAGAGTTTTAACAAGCTTGACTCTACACTATCTGATCATGATGATGCTTCCACATTAATAAGACTAACTTGGGCTTTACTTTTCTTGAGAAAAAGATTTTTAAAGATTCCTATATTTCCTATGTAACACTTTGATCGCCTATTGTGGTCCCACCCTACCCCTATGGGTCAGGATTTGAAAAAAACTTGAATCTTCACTATCATGTGCAAAACAAATCATTCCACCAACCTTTTGATGAAGGCTTCTCCTCCACAAATCCTGAGTTAATATAACCTCCCTCTTTGTTTGGGTCAGATGTTGACTGCTTGCTGTGGACTGACTTCTTACTGTGGACGGAATGCTTGCTATGAGTTGATACTCCTGAGGAGGGCCTAGATCCCCTGGGTGATGACCCAGAAGTCTGCCTCAGACCTGGTCCCAAAATAGCTGAATGTGGCCTTGACCCTGAAGATGGTCTTGATTCTGGATGAGAAGATCCTGAGGAGGGTCTGGGGCTGTGATTGTCAAAACCACCCTCATGTCTGGTGGCACCACTCTGTGGTCGATTAGTGTTACTCTGTAAGGCTGTCCCAGGGCGGCTCCCACTAGTGGTGGAGGAGTTTTCAGCTGACACAGGATCCTCAGCCAAAGACTGTGACCTGTCCAATGAAAAGTATAGTTTCATTTTTCATATTTATTCAATCATGCTTTTCTGGTAAAATTTTCAAAACACTATAAGTTTTAAATAAATTCATATATGGTTAAAAGGGCCTGCTGTAACGACTCTTAACAAAAAAAATTTTGAATAACTGAATTCCCATATCATCAAGTAAAATATATTTTCTGTCATAGCCTATTAAAATACTGTAAACGTGGAAATTTGACGACCTGCTAATTTTGACTATATTGATGATTTTTCTTTTCTCGTCAAAATTTCCACTTGTCAAACTTCACATCATATATATAGCGTCACCACAGACAATGACTATTTTAAACTTTATCGCTTAATTTTCTCTGCATTCCTCCATTAAAAATAGATCAAAGGTAATGTTCAATTTTTTTTGTAAATAGTTATGAAAACATATAATCACAGTTTTAAAAACCGTTGAATCTAAACAAGTGTGTTGTATACTATTATTACCCACAATCATAACATTCTAACTCTGCGTAATTATCACGCCATGCTTGACCTACTTTGTCACCCCAGGCAATTGGTCTCGTATAATGAAAACAAAATTTATTCAATCAAAATCTTATACACAGTACATGGTTTTTACAAGCAAAATTTAGTTTTACTGATGCCAATGCTTGTAAATGAGTTCACGAGGAAGTCACTGTCTTTGCTTATAATAACACTGTGAACTTTCAGGAGATATTTCGCATGAAGCGGCTTAATCATAGACGTTCTCAAGTCTATCAAGACAACTGAGCCACTGTTTCCACCAAGTTTTTGGTCCTCTAGTTTTCTGGCGAAATCAAAGATACATAACTCTTGATTCAATATTTCATCAAAATTAACTCTCGTCAATTTTGTAAACAAAAAATCATCAACTTTTCAACTCGTCAAAATAACCACGTTTACAATATACAACTCACTGAACAAAATGTTTCCCTTCCGTTCTTTAATTTTAATTGTAAGCTGACAAGAATAACATACGATGATAGAGTTATATTTACCTGAGTAAGTCAAACTCCATTTCTTCCTCTTCCTGAAGTTGACTCAGGATGCCGGCCAAGTTCTCCTCCTCCTCCTACACAACAAAAGGATGTCATAATTACACTTAATGTACCATTTAATAAGTTTTCATCATGCAAACATTGAAACAATACTAGAAATCTGACCTGTCAGCAAGGGCCCTACCGAGGGGTAGAAATATAAGGGTGCAGATTAGGGGATGAGAATTTTACTTGATTACAAAAATTTAGAAATATATAAAGAAGAATAAGCAACAGCAACTGCTAAATATCCAACAACCTGTAAATAGTATCCTTGCATTTACATAACGCAGTAAAAAACATCACATCTATAATAACTCAATTAAATGTATATTTAAAGAATGAAGCATGTGTTTTCTAAAATGCCAGCCTTCAGTGAATGCAAATATCACCCAGGCTTGACCTTAACTTCAAAACAAACATCAGTTGCAGACAAAAGGTGTTAATTAATCTTAAAGTGACAGAAACCCTCTAAAATTTTCTGCCACCAGCAAGATAATCAATCCCAGGGGATTAATTATACTGCTCTGTCAACCTTTTCTTCTAAATTTACGATAAGAACTTTTTCAGCAATGATAGAATGAGGTTATTATCTGCTTACCTGTTAAAATAAATAGTATTCTTGAATTTACATAAGGTAGAAAAAAGAAAGAAAAAAGAAAAAAATAAATCAAATAATTATAAAAGAGATATCTTTATCTATATCTTGCTTTTAGAATTCAATAAAATCATAAATAACTCACTGTGTATTTTACCAAAATTCAATATGAAAATTATTTAAATCCACATATCAGAGAATGTAAACATCATTCAGAATTGACCTTAACTTCAAAACAAATTTCATTTGCAGACAGAGGTGTTAATTAATCTCAGTGTGACAGATAAAGATAAATGCTTTGGATTTTCTTCAAGAGAAAAGTTAATTAATCCCAAGAGACTCACTGCAGCCTTTCATAGTTTACAATAGGAACATTCTCAGCAGTTATCTCTCTTTGCCAATTCACTCTTATAAAAAGTTATGGAATCTACCCCACCACCCCAGCTCCAAACTGGATGACACAGAGAACCAAACTTAGCATCAAAATATGTCTTACCGCCTATTCAACCAACATACCAAATTTGAACTTAATTGGTCAACCCTAAAAAAGTTATTAGAAAAAACGGAAAATTTGTGGACGGAAGAATGACAGACGGACAGACAGACAGATTACAATAGGGCACCTGCAAATCCTTGCGGGGCCCTAATAAGGATCAAAGAGATATCAACATTTTCCTACTTTCTCATTTACTTTAATTTACTATAAATTTCTGTGGTTTCATATAACTTCAATAAAAATACAAGACCATGCTTCTTAATTACTTATAGGTGAGTATATATAACTAAGCAATGATGAACTTACCTCTGACTTGTTCAGGTGAGTATATATAACTAAGCAATGATGAACTTACCTCTAACTCATTCAGGTGAGTATATATAACTAAGCAATGATGAACTTACCTCTAACTCATTCAGGTGAGTATATATAACTAAGCAATGATGAACTTACCTCTGACTTGTTCAGGTGAGTATATATAACTAAGCAATGATGAACTTACCTCTAACTCATTCAGGTGAGTATATATAACTAAGCAATGATGAACTTACCTCTGACTTGTTCAGGTGAGTATATATAACTAAGCAATGATGAACTTACCTCTGACTTGTTCAGGTGAGTATATATAACTAAGCAATGATGAACTTACCTCTGACTTGTTCAGGTGAGTATATATAACTAAGCAATGATGAACTTACCTCTGACTAGTTCAGGTGAGTATATATAACTAAGCAATGATGAACTTACCTCTGACTTGTTCAAGTGAGTATATATAACTAAGCAATGATGAACTTACCTCTGACTTGTTCAGGTGAGTATATATAACTAAGCAATGATGAACTTACCTCTGACTTGTTCAGGTGAGTATATATAACTAAGCAATGATGAACTTACCTCTGACTTGTTCAGGTGAGTATATATAACTAAGCAATGATGAACTTACCTCTGACTTGTTCAGGTGAGTATATATAACTAAGCAATGATGAACTTACCTCTGACTCAGAGCTGGCCATTGAAAGGTCAACAGAGGAGTCATCACTTTTGAGCTCGATGGGGTCAGGGTACAGGTCCTCATAGTAACCATCCTCCTCTGAAATAACAAAGGGAGGGAAGAGGAGGTATAAAAAGTGTCAAAGCATTGCATAAAAAAAATTATTTATCAAAATTAGAAGATCCTACCCCTCCCAAATTTTGGCAGTTTTTTTAAAACAAGAGGCCCATGGGCCTTGAATCGCTCTTCTGATAAACTGTACAACCTATCACTTCTATTTGAAGCCTCGAAGTATCCTGTATATTTACATAAACCCTTGAAATTCCAATTCACACTCTGAGAACCCAAGATGATTCTAAGCCAATTAGTACCTGAGAGTTGGTCATGGTGACCTACTTATCACTTGTCATTCTCTGAGGACCCATCAACTAAGTTTGATGATTCTAAGCCAATTAATACCTAAAATATTTTTTAAAATTATAATCATAAAATTTTATAAGTAGGTCAAAGTGACCTACTTTTCAATTGTTTTACTCCAAGGACCCAAGATGCATCAACTGACAAAGTTTGATGATTCTAAGCCAATTAGTACCTGTAATATTTAATTAAAGCCATAAATTTTCAAAAGTAGGTCACCGTGACCTACTTTTCAGTTGCTGTACTCCGAGGACCAAAGATACATCGACTGACAAAGTTTGATGATTCTAGCCAATAAGTACCCAAAATATTTAATTACAGCCATAAATTTTCAAAAGTAGGTCACAGTGACCTACTTTTCAGTCAACCTACTCCGAGGACCAAAGATGCATCAACTGACAAATTTTGACGATTCTAAGCCAAATAATTCCTGAAAATATTAAATACAGCCATAAAATTTCAAAAGTAGGTCACTGTGACCTACTTTTCAGTTGTTGTACTCCGAGGACCCAAGACGCATCAACTGACAAAGTTTAATGATTCTAAGCCAATTAGTACCTGAAATATTTGATTAAAGCCATAAATTTTCAAAAGTAGGTCACCGTGACCTACTTTTCAGTTGTTGTACTCCGAGGACCCATGACGCATAAACTGACAAAGTTTAATGATTCTAAGCCAATTAGTACCCAAAATATTTAATTACAGCCATAAATTTTCAAAAGTAGGTCACAGTGACCTACTTTTCAGTCAACCTACTCCGAGGACCAAAGATGCATCAACTGACAAATTTTGACGATTCTAAGCCAAATAATTCCTGAAAATATTAAATACAGCCATAAAATTTCAAAAGTAGGTCACCGTGACCTACTTTTCAGTTGTTGTACTCCGAGGACCCAAGACGCATCAACTGACAAAGTTTAATGATTCTAAGCCAATTAGTACCCGAAATATTTAATTAAAGCCATAAATTTTCAAAAGTAGGTCACCGTGACCTACTTTTCAGTTGTTGTACTCCGAGGACCCATGACGCATAAACTGACAAAGTTTTATGATTCTAAGCCAATTAGTACCCGAAATATTTGATTAAAGCCATAAATTTTCAGAAAGTAGGTCACAGTGACCTACTTTTTAGTCGACCTACTCCGAAGACCCATGACGCATCAACTGACAAAGTTTGATGATTCTAAGCCAATTAGTACCCGAAATATTTAATTAACGCCATAAATTTTCAAAAGTAGGTCACAGTGACCTACTTTTTAGTCGATCTACTCTGAAGACCCAAGATGCATCAACTGACAAAGTTTGATGATTCTAAGCCAATTAGTACCCAAAATATTTAATTAAAGCCATAAATTTTCAAAAGTAGGTCACAGTGACCTACTTTTTAGTTGATCTACTCTGAAGACCCAAGATGCATCAACTGACAAAGTTTGATGATTCTAAGCCAATTAGTACCCGAAATATTTAATTAACGCCATAAATTTTCAAAAGTAGGTCACTGTGACCTACTTTTTAGTTGACCTACTCCGAAGACCCAAGATGCATCAACTGACAAAGTTTGATGATTCTAAGCCAATTAGTTACTGAAATATTTAATTATAGTCATATAATTGAAAAGTAGGTCACGGTGACCTACTTTTTAGTTGACCTTTTTTGAGGACCCAAGATGCATCAACTTACAAAGTTTTATGATCATAGGACTTAAAATGTCCAAATTCTGCCTCTAAAACGCTTTGAAATCGAATGCCTGCAAAGTACAAAAAGTAGGTCACTGTGACCTACTTTTTAATAAATATGTTTTATGGCCCCAAGAGGCATCATCTTACAAGATTTAATGATTCTAAGCCTCCCCGTATTCGAATTAATGACCTTAATTGTTTTAAAAAAGATTAGCCATAAAATTCAAAAAGTAGGTCAAGGTGACCTACTTTTTAAGTGACGTACTTTGACGACCCAAGATGCATCAACTGACAAAGTTTGATGATCATAGGCCTTAAATTGTTCAAAATATGCCTCTAAATCATTATGAAAAAGAATGGCCGCAAAATTTGAAAAGTAGGTCACCGTGACCTACTTTTGAGTCAACATGATATGAGGTCCTTAGATGCACCAACTGACAAGATTTGATGATCCTAGTCCTTATAGTAAGCAAAATATCAACATTTTAATAAAATGTAATTTTTGGTCAACTTTGAAGTGACCTTGAGACCACGCCCTTTGCCCCAGGGTAAATCCCCGTGCAAATTTTAATCTACAACATATCCTCATCCTTTTGTGTAAGTTTGGTGATAATCTGTCCAGTGGTTCTTGAGAAGAAGTTTTTTTAGCAACCAGTACTTTTGTTTCTATTTTCCTAATTATCTCCCCTTGTTAAAGGGTCACAACCCCAGTTTTAGTATAAAAGGGAGCCCTTGGGCCAAGGATACCCTGTGACAAATTTGACAATAATTGGCCAAGGGGTTCTTGAGTTATGGCCCATATTCTAAAAAGTTTACGCACACCGCACAAATGGCCATAGCATTAGCTCTTTGAGCCTTTGGCTCAGAAGAGCTAAAAACCATATTCTAATTTTGTATAAATATAAATTAGGGTACACTGTATATGTATTAGAAAACCTCTTAAAAATTTACCATACAATAGGGCAGTAAAACAAGTGTGTGTATATAAAAATCCACTGCATTAAAATATCAGCAACATCCAGAATTCTATCACATTTTACTTGCCATACCTTCTAGGTTCAGGCTGTATGGTTCTTCATGCCAGATTTTCTCTAAAGCTGGCTGTGTAAACATGGCTTTCTTTCTAACTTTCTCTGCTCTGCCATTCAGGAAAACCCCTGTCAAATGAAGGTTTTTTAAAAAATCTAATCACTTTTATAGGAAAAATTAAAGTTAAAAATGAAAAGTTATTTGATTCTGAAACTTCTAGTATGTGCACAAAAAATTATTCTTTTCCTTTAAAACCCTTTCAAATTACCAAACTTAAGTACATAATTATTCTCTTTTAAAGATGACAGAGCATTGAAACAAAAACAATTTTAACATAACTTTATTGATGTTTCATATGTAATATGATATTTACACCAGCTACAATTTCTTACTGACCCATGCAGTACATCTTGAGGAGCATGCGACGTTTCATTGGCGACACCAGAATGAGGTCGTAGTCGCGTTGTGCGAGACGCTGGCTGAACAGAGGCATCACTGACAGGAACTCCTTGGCCGTTTTCCTGATTGATTCCTTTACAGTCTCTGTTATATGATTACAGGAGACATTTATTGAACATAGTGACATCAGAATAGATATCACAAAATGCATATGAATTTTCAAAAGCATCTGTCAGAAATATTTCTAACTGAACAAAATTTATTGTGCAATATTCACTGTGCTTTTTGATTTTGAAAGCCATTAATTTTATCTGCAAATATAGTTTTACCAACTTTTTCACAGACTTCACTTTAGAGAGTTTTAATACCTGCAAAAAGTGACTTCTGTGCTAGCTTGGCATGAATTTCAATCATCTCATCCAGAAGATCCCACATTGTTCCATGGAGGGCATCTCCTAGAAACTCTGCCTCACGACAGTAAGCATTCAGGATCTGTATCTGTCTGGACAGGTCGTGGACAGGGGCAAACAGAGCAGGGCTTCTCTGAGTCCTCTCTAGACATGGAATAGAAATTTTTTGAGTCTCTACTCTTTATTGAAAAACATGCAATAGAAAAGTGAACATAAGATAAAACACATTTTACATATGTTGTCACTTTATCCTTAAAGTGTACATAAAAGATAATTCAATGAAAAAGATAATCTGATTGCCAATGAATGGAAAAGAACAGGCACATATTTACTTAGAATGACCTACCTAACACAAATCTGGCATGGAGGAATGTTTTAAGGAATTTCTTTGTCTGTAAACTCAGGTGGTCATTGTCCGAGGTGGAGAAAGTTGGCCACAGGGGAGTGTTTATTATTTTCTTCTGATACAGGATGCTACGAATCACCAAATACACCATAAACAAGAACCAGAACACAGCCCAGCTCACTACGATGGTGGTCAGGACCCACTTAGAGTACTGGGGAAGGAGCCATGGGGAGGACAGGGTGTAGACATTGTATCGTGTCACCATTGACCCGATTATTCCAAGGCAACCAAGACTCAGAAATGAAAGCAGCATCATTAAATTGTAGATAAAGATTCTATAGGGACGGACAAAAATAAACAAAACGAAATACCCCCAAAACAGGAGAGTCACAGACAAGGCTTGACCTGAAATGTTGTTAAAACCCGCACACAGAGCAATAATAATAGGCAACTTGAGCCACTGCATGACAGCCCTATGATACAATCCCCAGAATCGAAATGAAGAGAAAACAAACATGTCTGCATGCAGCCAAGATTTATTCAATCCTACTTTATATTCAGTTTCCTTCAGAAGAAGGAAGGATTCATGGTGCTTTGAACAGGAACCCACAGACTCTGTTCTGGTTATGTATACCAAGTAAAGAGGGAAGACTACAAACAGAAACAGCATAATGACCAGACCAAATGTCACATACAACCAGTGGAGGCCAGAGAAACAGGTCAGATCATTCATCACATCCACTGTGTCGGTGTTTGTACACTGAAAGATGTGACCTACATATGTAGCCAGTGGGAGTGTAAGAGCCTGTATAACCACATAATACACCCGGCGCACATAGGCCATTTTGGTCAACATTGCAGGGCTTTTTCTGTACCAGAGAACTGCATAGATGATGGGATACACAGCAGCCAGAATCAGAGTGACCACCAGCCAACCAATGGAAATCGTGGAAAACTGAACTGGCACAGAGGAGCTTGGTGTGTTGTAGTTCTGAACACTGGCATAAACACCAGCTGTGTGGATCTTCATAAACTCAAAAAAATCCAGGTTAAAAATAAAGACAAAATAAGTGTTTGACAGCCAGGCATGTGGCCAGGTCCATCTCAAAGCCATGGACTGGTAAATTGCAAAAAACTGAAGGAAGTCCAGAATAAGAAGAAAGCAGTCTTGCCATAGCAATGACACTCTTCTTTTACGTCGACGCTCTGTCATCAGAATCTCATCTTCAAAATCATCATCAATTTCCACTTTGTCCTCAGGAACGTACATCTTCACTCTGCCCTGAACAACTGCCATCCCTTTAGGGTACATCTCATTTCCCTCTAACAATGGGCGTATCTCCTTCTGTTTCATTCTGGAGTTTTTGTTTTTTCTACCTTAGTTTTGAATGATCTTCGCTCCTTCCTACATACTGCTATCTCTGGATCTAATAAGTAGGAACATTTTATTTAAAGTCGGCATTATGTACATGTATAAATAAAAAATAACATAAGTAGCACTCTTTAATCAACTATTAATGTACAGTAAAATATATTGAAAAGAAAAAATACATTACAAAAGTTTAGCATGCAAAACACATAAACAAATATAGCAAAAACATAGTAAACTAGAGGTTCTATGATCACTGATCTCACAAAATGATACCCCTACTCCAATATGAGTCTATTTTTTGCTAAATATTGTTTAAACCATGTTTTAAAAAAATAAAGCAAAAAATAAAGCAATGCCTGGGTGAAGAGAAAATTCAGACTTTGCACATTGATCCAAATGAATTTTTTCCACAGTTACCTCTGGACCCTGTCACCCACAATGCAATGCGAATGCATCTCCCTGCTAACTAACATTCTTGTGGTAACAACAAACATAGACAAACAGACCTTGATTTAGTGGATATTGCAGATAAATAGTAGATTAAACATTCTTTGTTAAAATTGACCCTTTTCCGACTTTTGGTAATGCGACTAACATGCAACATCATTTCACATCACAGTCTAGATGTGTATGTGGTTTGAAGAGGCGGATTTAAGTTAAAACTGAATAGGTATCCAGTAATACACATCTGCACTTCCACTAACGGTCGCACCCTCAACATATTAGACCCTGACAGCTAAACAGATTATATATCTACTGTTATAAAATCTTTTAATCTAAAAAGCATCCCAGAAAAATGGTAGATCTTAACTTTAAAATCAATACAGATAATTTGTATTTTCACGGAAAAAAAATTTAAGTCCTGAAAAAAATGATTAGGTAGGGGTAATTTTCATGGGTTGGTGAGCGTACATCAAACAAATCATTTTTTATAGTTAGCCCAAAACAACAAAAAAAACTAACTGAAGTAATCATGGAAAAATAAAAAAAAAAAAAAAAACAAGAGGCCCATGGGCCACATCGCTCACCTGAGCACATTGGCTAGGAAAAAAAGCAAAAATCAGTACAGTATTGAAAAGTTTACAGGGGGGGGGGGTGTTGAATTTTAAACTACCTGATGATGCTTTCATATCAATATAACAAATGGCTTTGTTGTTCTTGAGCAGCAGACTTTTTTCCCATATATTCATTTGTAAAAATTTGTTCCCCCATTGTGGCCCCACCCTACCCCCGGGGGCCCTCATTTGAACAAATTTCATTCTACACTACCCAAAGATGCCTCCATATCAATTTGACTAATCATGGCTTTTCTGTTCTTGAGAAAAAGACTTTTTCCTATATATTCCTCTGTAAACTTTGATCACCCATTGTAGCCCCAACCTATCCCCGGGGTAATGATTTGAACAAACTTGAATCTTCACTATTTGAGGATGCTTCCATATAAATATGACCAATCATGGCTTTACTGTTCTTAAAAAGAAGATTTTTAACGATATTTTCCTATATATTTCTATGTAAAACTTTGATCCCCAATTGTGGCCCCACCCTACCCCCGGGAGTTATTATTTGAACAAATTTGAATCTTCATTACCTGAGGATGTTTCCATATAAATATGACCAATCATGGCTTTACTGTTTTTAAGAAGATTTTTAAAGATATTTTCCTATATATATCTATGTAAAACTTTGATCCCCCATTGTGGCCCCACCCTACCCCCGGGGGTCATGATTTGAACAAACTTGAATCTACACTACCTGAGGATGCTTCCATAAAAATATGACCAATCATGGCTTTGCTGTTCTTAAGAGGAAGATTTTTAAAGATATTTTCCTATATATTTCTATGTAAAATTTGGATCCCCCATTGTGGCCCCACCCTACCCCTGGGGGTCATGATTTGAACAAACTTGAATCTACACTACCTGAGGATGCTTCCATAAAAATATGACCAATCATGGCTTTGCTGTTCTTAAGAAGAAGATTTTTAAAGATATTTTCCTATATATTTCTATGTAAAACTTGGATCCCCCATTGTGGCCCCACCCTACCCCCGGGGGTCATGATTTGAACAAATTTGAATCTACACTACCTGAGGATGCTTCCATATAAATATGACCAATCTTGGCTTTACTGTCCTTAAGAAGAAGATTTTTAAAGATATTTTACTATATATTTCTATGTAAAACTTGGATCCCCCATTGTGGCCCCACCCTACCCCCGGGGGTCATGATTTGAACAAACTTGAATCTACACTACCTGAGGATGTTTCCACATAAGTTTCATCTTTCCTGGCCCAGTGGTTCTTGAGAAGAAGATTTTTAAATGATGCCATTATTTTTTCACTAATTCCTAATTATCTCCCCTTGAAAGAGGGCGTGGCCCTTCATTTGAACAAACTTGAATCCCCTTTACCCAAGGATGCTTTGTGGCAAGTTTGGTTGAATTTGGCCCAGTGGTTCTTGAGAAGAAAATGAAAATGTGAAAAGTTTACGACAACGACGACGACGCCAACGACGACGACAGACAACGGACAAATTTTGATCAGAAAAGCTCACTTGAGCCTTTGGCTCAGGTGAGCTAAAAAGGATAACTTAAAGAAAACTTAAAATACAAGCAGAAAAAAATGTGACCAAAATTAAAACAAAAAGAATTTTAAAAATTTTCAACAACACATATCCTGTCGTGACTGGGTCAAACCATACTTACATCGACAAGATCTATGTTATTAAACAAAGTTGATAGATGAAAAGAAGTAAACTTTATCATATTCAACAAGTGAGAAATCTGACGATTTATGGAGTTAGCAGTTGGCAGGTGTCGACCCAGAAAAATCTGTCCATAAAAATTAAATAAAAGCATCTTGATTGTGTTGGTCATCCAAATGGACTACAAACAAGTAAGAATTAGAATATATATTAAAAGTATACCTATTATTTACCTATTATAATACATTTCATTCATTACTTTCGCCTCCATTTTGGCTGTGTTGACAAATAGCATCATAGAGTCGGTGTCGGGTGGTTACGTTCCGATTCCGTGTTCGACCCGCGTGGTTACGACCCAAGTGGTTTCGACCTACTCTAATATATTATATCCCTACATGTCAATACCTGAGTACAGGGGTATACACTGTGCGGTAAACAAATGGATATCCGGTAGCTGTATATTGTATGGCTTCAGAGATGTGCGTGTCAATAGGTAGTAGTTTCCGTATGTGTAGTCAACATGCAGGTTTCCTAACATTTTTTTCTACTATCGCGGAGCATGAATGTTGATAAATTTGATTTAGTAATGAATTATATTTGAACAGTTTTCCATAAAAATTAATCAAATACTTCTTCAAATGTACCGTGATCACATATGCACTGTCTGAACAATGTACGTTTCTCCAAATTTATAATTACATACGATAATTAACACAAATATACGTGGTCAACATAAAAAAAAAATTGTAGACGAAAAAATACAATGTAAAACTTTTGAAAGTGTTAATTAATTTCGTACGAAGCAATTAATTGTTAATTAATTGCTTTGGAACGAAACCACTCGGGTCGAACATGGATTTGTGTCGAAACCACGCGGGTCGAACAAGTCATCGGAACGTAACCACCCGCATTCATAGAGTCGTTGGTTTCCGGTCTAGTTCGTAGACTCTCGGAAATTGCCGATAACTTTATCAACCTGTACTTAGATATTCACAATAAATATATCCATTGTTTATTTTAGCAATATTTATTCCCTGTGAGTTTGACAATCATTATTTTAGCAACATAATTTCATATAAATCGAAAATATGCGCAAATGATTATTTACGGCTATTAGTAAACCCTATAACTTATTATTTTTCACAATGAAATTCATTTTTCAACTGATCATAAATTTAGAGAAAATTTCTTTGCATTTTTATTATCATTGATATTTGATCGTGTAAAAAAATTTAAACATAAAATGTACTCTTAATAACCAATTTCAAGTGCAGATTAAAATCTGGGTATTTTCCCTGTCATTAGATCAACCATTCTCTTTGAATGGGTCAAATCAAGATGGCGTGGCAGCCGGAGGAAAATGGTCTCCGCCAAATTCTGCAATTACTAAAGGAATCTCAGTCACCAGACACTGCGACCCAACGAAATGTTCAACAAGTATCCTTTCCTTAAGCTGCGATTTATTTCAGGAATCCGTTTATGTGAAGTGAAGTGGTTAAAGAGGTGTCCTCAAATGGGCACGTGTTGTTCACTTGAGTGATTATGCAGTTTTTAAAACTCCCACGAATATTTCTTTGTAAAGAACGGGTACTGAGTGTTATATATTATCAATGTCAATGTATTTATATGTAGTTATATTAAGTTGTAAATCTATGACATTCATTGAAAAAATTGTCAAAAGGTGTATTTTTCTGATTTCCTTTAACTTTAATGTCAGAAATTGGAAGAATTGAATAAATATCCAGATTTCAACAATTACCTGATCTTTGTCCTCACAAAGCTAACAACAGAGGGTATGTTGAAACAATTTTACTTATCAATTTTTTACATTAGCATAGTGTTTTGATCACCAAGCTTTACATTGGGGAAAAATCAAGAGTTTGTCAAAGTAAATGATTTTTATAGCATCACATCCCAGCAGTCAACTTCATTAAACAAAACCTTGCTTAGAATGAAACAAACAAAATCCACAACATTGTCCATAGATAAGAGAATTGTTAACATCTAAAAATAATTGCCTCTACCTATTGAAGTATGCATAATAGTGGCAATATAACCAGTATTTTGACACTGGTCGCTTACAGGTATAAGTAAATATTAGTGTTACAGGTAAAGAAATCTTACCATTGTCCATTATAAAGCATGGTCGAGCAGTTTTACTTTCATGTTAAAACAAATGACATCATATTATTTGAAGTTTTACTCCTTTTTATAAGTCACCTATATATAAATTGATATGGATGAAAACTTTCAAATATTAAAGCACTGTTTTCAAATAATCAGTCTTGATGATTGATTCCTACCCCTCCCAATGATTATAGCTAAGATCACAGAGTTGAAATGAGATAATGATAGAACACCACCATCCCAGATTGAAGTTTTTAGCAGGTTAATTTTCCAATTAATTCTTATTTTAAGCCATACTTGGACCATTCTTGCATGGCTGATGCATCTTCAGATGCTTGCTACCATTTAAACTATAGGGTTAGATTACTTAGTTGTACATTCTTAAATAACTTAACCCTAATTGGACCAATCAATCGGGCATAGATAAAGTATAAATACGAACTTTTTTGCATTGGTGGCACTGTAGCTGTCTGGTCATCCATCCCAATTTTTTCAGACCCCGGAGCTACAGTTCTGCAGCTAGCGTAAAATTGATATTGTGATTCCTATTCCAACCTGATAAAAAAAAAATAGAGGGGTGGGTAGGGAGAACACTCTATTTTAACATTTTATTGTTTATTTTATTTGAACAGTAAAAAATATTTAAGAGAATGAGAGGTCAATTCTTTTTTTTTCTCAAAGGGTAGCTTATAAATTTGGTAGAGTGCAGTGTTTTCCCCAGGCCGTTTTTGCATGGCGGTACCGCCATGCATTCACGATCCCCCGCCATGCATCACACATTGCCACTATGCTTCCCGCTATGCATGAATTATTAAAGGTAGACTATTTTAAGAAGATATACTTCGAATGTTATCAGTTATTAATCTTTCAATAAAACAATTCAAAGCACTAGAATCATAGCGTGTACTGTACACATGTTGCGCACCTGTGGTGAACTCGATGCGAATCGCGGTACGGGGTATGATGCAATAGTTGTCAATTTATGTTTATTGCAATTTACTGATATGTTACTAAGTATTAAGCTTTTATTGATTAAAAATATTTATAAGCATGAAAGATTTACTAATTTCTGCCAGATAGTACACACGGTGAAAGTAATACACTTGTTAATGGACAATTGGGTTTTTCCAACATCCACAGGTCATTCTATAAATAGCATTGATGTTCCGACACCAAAAATGATTCATTAGTTAAACACATAATTTTAAAGCCATTTTTTAGCATAAATATGCTTAAAATAAACATATCCAATAAATATTATCATTGTTTATTTACTCTATGAACTATGGGCAAATACTTATAGTTCAAGCGCACATGCTTGACCCACATTCAACAGCTTACGTTGAATAAAAAAAAAGTCAGACAACAATGTACTAAATGTTGTCACAATATTTACATGTAAGCAATGATGCTACATAATGTGCACCCTTTCTGTTTAAAAATGACTGTTAAAGTAGGGACATCCCCCCAAAAAATGTAGTAAATAAAAAAAGGTGGGGGGGGGGGGGGGTCACTAGGGGCCTATTCAGTTTGTAAGAAGCAAGAATAACACAGCACATTTAACATCATAAAAAGACAGTGGCTTTAGAGGAAAATAAAATAGAACATTTTGTTGTGATTATATCTAATTTTATAAACGAGAACTTAATTGTTTAGCTTTTTTAAAAGTTAAATTGACAATATATTCAAAATATATCATTTAATTTTTTTTAAAAAAATATAAATAAATGCTGCATTTGTATTTTTCATTTAAATATAAATTCAGATACATGCACAAGTAACTCAACGAGACACGCCGCGTGCCGTCAATTCAGCAAAATTCCCCCCATGCATTAAAAATTTTCTGGGGAAAACACTGAGAGTGTGATAACAGCTTCCTACTAGCTTGGGCTAGTGGGTTAACCCTTTAGATCAATCGGTAGAGCACTGGACTGGCATGCCAGAGGCCCCGGGTTCAATCCCCAGCAGAGGCACATAAATGTCTCTGTTACATAATTGCCAGGCACTTCAAATCAATTCTGATTATCAAGTAGAGGATAGTGTTTTTTTTTATCACAGAAATGACCAAGATTAGGATTTCCAATAGTGAAACTGAAATTCTTTACTTACAAAAAGTACCCGGTATACAATGTCAGGAAAATTTTCAGGGTCATGCTTAAGGTTTTATATTAAGAGGTCTGTTTATGAGTGCCTTTGACCTTGGTCTTGGCCAAACTTAAAGATGCATCTAATGATACTAATTATCATGCTTAGGATTCTGTATCTGACATAGTTTTCTGGAGAAAAGTCGGATTGAAGTTTTTGGAACATGTCCATTTCTAAGTAAATTCTTGCTCTACCAGGACCAAAGTTGCAGGAATGATGCATCAAGGAATGCATACCCCTGCAGTCTTGCTTCAGTCTTTGCTTGTAGTTTCCAGATTTGTAACAATAACATTGTAACACCGACTGTAACTATTGTATCTTTTTGAACATTTCTTTGATATTAGTCCTTGCAATACATGTAGATGATATTCATTTAGGTGAGCTCCAAAGTCTTTGATAACCTATTTTTTCCCTACCATAGTACAATAAATTAGTGGTACTATAATGCACTGTATGAAATTTATCCACATTTATAGATGAACTCATCTTCGGTAGCCACGGGTTTCTGATCCGCTACTCCTCTCACAAACCCTTGGCCTATGGTGCTGTCAAAGGTCAGGTTTGTTTACGTCATGTGATCTCTAATCTTACCACATACGCACAGATTGTGCCATTGACAGAAATACAAAGAGATTTAAAAATTAAAGTTTTTGGAGATTAATTAACAAGAAGGTATAGAGCGATGTTTATTTGTTATTTAGCGTGCAAATCTACATCTGCTATATAGAATCCTGATCATATTACTTAAGATTGGGTGACACCATAACTATTTATAGAATGGCATGTTATCTTACAGATCGTTGTTTACTCATGTTTTTTGTTCCTGAGAATAAAGAGTCAAGATATATCCCAATGCAGTTATCATTTACAAAAAGCAATTGCTGATTGGTCAAATGATATCAGTCAACTCCAACCACAACTTGAGAAAAAAATCCAAATTTTTTTTCAGCACCTTAGGCCAAGGGTTTGTGAGGAGAGTAGCGGATCAGAAATCCTTGGCTAGCAAAGATAAGATAAACTTTGAACTTATGTTTACATAAATATAACCTAATTTAATAACATTGACATGATTGTAGATGAACCAACCAGATCTTTGAGTGGACTGATCTTGAAAAACAATGTAAAAGCTCACTTTGATAAGTTCCCTCCAGAGGTGACAACCTTCATCAAGGCTGAATGTTTATCTAGCATTGGCAACCCGTCCCCATTGATACGGGCCACAATTGGAATCTTGATTACTACGATCGTTGCTAAGGGAGAGTTACGTAATTGGCCAGAACTGTTGCCCACTCTGTGTAATTGTCTAGATTCTGAAGACTATAATGTGTGTGAGGTAAGATTGAGACTGAGTAGTATTTTCACTATTTTGTCAGACTGGATGCTTAAGTCAGTAATATGGGCATGATAACTAACATTGATCTTACTGGGTACACCATTCCAGGGAGCATTTGGTGCGTTACAGAAGATATGCGAGGACACGGCCGAGGACCTAGATAATGACAGCACAAGACCCCTCAATATCCTCATTCCCAAATTCCTACAGTTCTTCAAACACAACAGTGCTAAAATTAGGTAAGCAAAAAATATGCAAGTTTGTGATAGCTATTCATGTACAGAAGTTGAATTTGAAGTGTCAAATTGTACATTCTTGGTGCATATTCTTAAAGGACAGAAATGTGTATGTACATTTGATTTTTACTAGGTCCCATGCCATTGCTTGTGTAAACCAGTTTATCATCAGCAGGACCCAGGCCTTGATGGTCCACATAGACAGTTTTATTGAGGTTCGTAGTAAAACATTAATGTTTAGGACACAACCTTTAAAATTCCCACCACAAGAGATTGATAAAATCTATGGTTAAAACTGCATTAAGAATAGATGAATCACAGATTTTGTTGCTCTTTTTTTTGTAGAATTTGTTTTTCCTGGCAACAGATGAAGACACAGAAGTCAGGAAGAATGTTTGTCGAGCTCTGGTCATGTTAGTTGAGGTCCGCATGGATAGACTTATTCCTCACATCAATAGTATTATAGAGGTAATGTGTCCTTATTATAGAGGTAATGTGTCCTCAATATAAAGGTAATGTGACCTTATTATAGAGGTAGTCTCTGCTCATTATAGAGACAATTTCTTGTCATTCTATGTATTGTCTTCTACACTCTTAAAGATAAAGGTATTTTTAAGAAAATTCAATATTAGCAGCAGTAAATAATTTAACCGTCATGGAGGAGTAATCTTAGATTAATTTTAAATCAAGAATATTTTTATGTGCCCATAATTGGGGGCATATAGTTTTTGGTCTGTCTGTCTATTTGTTTCCAAAAACTTTAACTTCAGCATAACTTTTGAACAATTGGTAATATGGCTTTCATATTTCACATACCTTGTGACAAGACCTTTCTTTGAGATGAATGACTTTATGACCTTGATCTTGGAATTTGACCTACTTATAAGAACTCTAATCAAGCTTAATCTTTGCATATAAGTTTTGAAGGGTTGGTGCAAGGGCTTTCATATTTCACATGTATATTCCTTTTGAAAAGACTTTCACTTTGGTATCAACATTTTGACCTCCTAGCCATGACCTTGGAGTTGACCTACTTTGGAAAAACTTGGCTGTAACTTCTGAACAGTTGATGCTAGGACTTTTGTATTTGACATGTGTATTTCTTGTGACAAGATCTTTCTTTTGGTACCAACATTTTTTGACCTCTTGAGATTAATCTCAAGAGTTTGACCTTCCTTTGAAAGACTTAAAACCTTAGTAATGAGCTGCCATATGGGGACATCACTGTTTCACAAACACATCTTTTTTTGACAAGTGAAATAAAAATTGAGAAACTTGATTTCATGCAGTATTTTACTCATTAACTTTCAGTACATGATGTTGAGGACACAGGATGATGATGATTCTGTTGCTCTTGAGGCTTGTGAATTCTGGCTTTCTCTTGCTGAGCAGCCCATCTGTAAGGACGTACTTCAACCTCACATAGAGCGACTGATTCCCATCCTCGTCAAAGGCATGAGATACTCCGAAATTGACATCATTCTACTCAAGGTACTGCATAAAACTATCACACAAGTTATCAGAAAGGAGAAAATTGCTTTTAGTGTTACTTTCATCTGTGTCTTACAAAATTTTGACATACAGTATTGTATAATGTAGGGTGATGTTGAAGAAGATGAAATGATTCCAGACAAGGAATCTGACATCAAGCCAAGATTTCACAAATCCCGTTCCCACACCCAGAAACATCAGGAGGGAGACGAGGTAGTGATGGATACACTAGGTTTTAGGTTCTTTAAATGAAGGGGTCATAAAGTTTGTGAATAGCTGGAATTAACTTGAGGATTGTTGGGAATGATTTTAGTGCTGTTGTTGTTGTTGATTTTAATGCTTTGTTGTTGATTTTGTTGACAGGATGGAGAAGGCTCAGATGACGGATTTGATGATGATGACAATTTGTCCGACTGGAATCTAAGTATGTTGTTTAATTATAAAATAAAGTGTTGCTCATGAAGTGAATATAAAGCATTTACAAATTAAAATGTCAATGCATACTGTACATTGAAAAAGTCTAAAGAAAAAAAAAATCTAATTAACAGTTAATGATAAATAGCTTTTGTTGACATTTTAAAATGATATAATTTTATGATGCAAGTCATGTTGATTTGTTGATGTTGATAAATATAAGTTAAGATTTGTGATTTATCAATTGTTTGTATATACTGTAAACGTGGAAATTTCGACGACGTGCTAATTTTGAATATATTGACGATTTTTCTTTTCTCGTCAAAATTTCCACTCGTCAAACTTCATATCATATATATAGCGTCACACCAGACATATTGACCGTTGTACAACTTTATCGCTTAATTTTCTCGGCTTCCCCCATTAAAACTAGATCAAAGTTACAGTTTAATTTTTTTGTAAATAGTTATGAAAACATATAATCACAGTTTTAAAAACCGTTGAGTATGTCATATACTATTATTACCCATGGTCACAACATTCTAACTTTGAGTAATTATCACGCGGTGTTTGACCTACTTTGTCACCTCAGGCAATTGGTCTCGTATAATGAAAACAAAGACTAGTACAAAAGAGCAAATAATTCAATCAAATCTTATACACTGTAGATGGTTTTTACAAGCAAAATTAAATTTTATTGATGAGAACGCTTGTAAATGAGTTCCCGAGGAAGTCGCGGTCCTTGCATGCTTATAACATCGTGAACTCGCACAGAATGGCTTAATCGTAGACGTTCTCAAGTAAACTAAGCCAATGTTTCCATCAAGTGTTTGGTCCTCTAGCTTCTGGCAAACTTACTCTGAGTACTAGTTTTGAAACTGTTTTTTTTTTTAAAGGAGTTCTTTGTATTCATTTTTGTTTTAATCTTGTGAAATCAAAGATATACATAACTCTTAATTTAATATTTCGTCAAAATTAACACTCGTCAATTTTCGTAAACAAAAAATCGTTAATTTTTCAACTCGTCAAAATAACCACGTTTACAGTATTGTATATGCATTGGATTTGTTTGTTGTGACAGGAAAGTGTTCAGCTGCCGCACTGGATGTGTTGGCCAATGTGTTCCGTGAGGAGATCTTGCCTACACTTTTACCAATCCTAAAGGAAACATTGTTCCACACAGATTGGGAGGTGAAGGAATCAGGAATCTTAGTTTTAGGGGCCATCGCAGAAGGATGCATGAACGGAATGATCCCTCACCTCCCCGAACTGACCCCTTACCTGATTGGCTGCCTCAGTGATAAGAAAGCTCTAGTCAGATCAATCACATGCTGGACACTTAGTCGATACGCCCACTGGGTCGTTGGTCAGCCACATGAGATGTACCTGAAACCCTTGATGACAGAGGTACGGGAAAATCAGATATGAGATAAAAATCATGTATTTATAAAGGATTAAAGTTCTTGACTAAACGAAAAGAATTTATATATGTATAAAAATAATTTTTATTAAAAAAAAAAAAAGTGAAAAAAATAACATATCTGTGAAGGGATTCAGTTCAGGCTCAGTTAAAAGTTATAAGTTTGATGCAGTTGAAAAGTAGAAAACTCCTTTACTTTAGCTGTGTTGAAATAATGACATGACATTGTACATTGTAGTTGCTGAAGCGAGTATTAGATGCTAACAAACGAGTTCAAGAGGCTGCCTGCTCTGCTTTTGCGACTTTAGAGGAGGAAGCTTGCACAGAGCTGGTGCCATATCTTGGTTTTATTTTGGAGACTCTAGTATATGCCTTCAGCAAGTACCAGGTAAATGGAAATCTTCTTTTTATCATGGTGAAACAAATTTTAAATTATGATAAGAACAGATTGATTTTACTAATGAAACCAGTATCTAATTCTACAGTATTCTGTTTGGAAGTAAGGAAAAAGAAATATAACTAAAGTTATCAATATTACAGCACAAAAACCTTCTGATTCTGTATGACGCTATTGGGACTCTGGCTGACTCTGTAGGACACCATCTCAATAAACCAGTAAGTCAACTCTTCAGAAGGAAAGAGTAAATTATCATGAACGAGAGTGTAACTGATTCTTATAACATACAGTACTGTATTTCAGGAGTATGTGAACATGCTGATGCCCCCTCTCATACAGAAATGGAATATTCTTAAAGATGAGGACAAGGACTTGTTTCCATTGTTAGAGGTGGGTATTATATGTAGACTTGTCTGTAAAGTGTCACCCTTTCAAGTTGTTTTTTAGCTCACATTGATGTAAGTTCATGCATTATGGGATGTACTATACCAGACTTGCTTCGATGCAGGATCTGACCTACATTTCCTGAATGATAGACCAGGTTAAAGTTTTTGGAGCAAGTTTAAGTTTTAGGAGCAGGTTGTATCCCCAAGTAAAATACATGTATAAGCCTAAACTTGCATGGATGATGCAAATAGGATGCACATTACTAGTCTGGATATGGATGCTTGATCTGACCTACATTTTTCGTATGAGTGAACAGGTTAAAGTTTTTGGAGCAGATTCATTTCAAAGTAACTGTAACTCCTATTGACCAAACTTGCATAGATGATGCATCTAAGAACGGACACTGTCATATTGGCTGCAGATGCTGGACCTGACCTACATTTTGCAGATGATGAGCAGGTTAAAGTTTTGGAGCAGGTTCATCCCCAAGTAATTATAAGCCCTATGGTCAGTGTGGTGAGTGAAGGTTTATCCCTAAATAAAATTAAGCCTTGCATTGATGGTGCATCTTGGGATGCACACTAAAAGACTTGCTTTGGATGCTGGATCTGATCAACGTTTTCCAGTTGAATGATCAGGTTACTGTTTAAGAGCTGGTCCATTCCCAACCCTTTTGTAACTGAACTTGCATTGATGATGCATGTTACTAGGTATGCACACTAGAAGATATGCTTTGGAAGCTTGATCTGACCTACATTTACAGGATGATTGAAAAGTGGAAGTTTTTGTATAGATGTTGTATCTAGGAATGCACAGTAACAGAACATTTGTGGTGTGAGACATTATCTTACTTATAGATAACATTTGTCAAGGTGACCTTTATAATATTTATAATATTTGATTACCTATGTGTATTTCTTATGACACATTATTTTCTGAATCCTCTTGTTGCAGTGCTTGTCTAGTGTGGCCACAGCTTTACAATCTGGTTTCCTGCCTTACTGCGAACCAGTTTACCAGAGATGTGTTAACCTTGTGGAACAGACTCTCAACCAAAACTTTGTAAGAAAAATATCCAACTGAAATCAGAAAGAAAATGTTACACAGATTGACAATAGTTTCAAATTAGTGAAGTACTGAAGTTTTGGTATCATTTTTGGTGCAGCAAATGGAAAAGACATCTATATCTGGTTAATTAATATACCCTATTTTTAACCTTTGTTATATTAGATAAAGATATTTTAATATATTTACCTTAAGCTTGTTAGATGTAGATATTTTGATATACGTGTATTTACATGTACCTTGTTATATTAGATATTTTGATATATTTACCTTGTTAGATGTAGATATTTTGATATATTTACCTTCAGGCCAATATAAACCAGCCTGACCAGTATGATCCTCCAGACAAGGACTTTATGATCGTGGCTCTAGATTTATTGAGTGGACTCGCGGAGGGACTTGAACATCACATAGAAAATCTGGTTGCCAATAGCAACATTCTAAAACTGCTTTTTCAGTGTATGCAGGTAGGCAGGGAACATCATTCTGATTGAAAAATATACAAGTTTGCATTTCAGTTAGAGACATGCATATATTATTTAACATTGAAACCCAGTATAAACTGGGTCAGTATTGTACAACTAAAGATATGAATTAAACTTGCTATTGTGCTAGGACCCTATGCCAGAGGTTCGCCAAAGTTCCTTTGCTCTTCTGGGAGACTTAACAAAAGCTTGCTTCCAGCATGTGAAACCTTGTATAGCTGATTTCATGCCAATACTTGGATCCAACTTGAATCCTGAGTTTATTTCTGTGTGCAATAATGCTACGTGGGCGATTGGAGAAATCTCTATAAAGATGGGTAAGTGGTGATACAGTTAATATGTAAAACCATTGGTCTCTGTAGAGGTGTTGAAAGTTATAGTCTCCATTTTAATAAGAAGTAATAGCTTGTGTTGTCTGCCGGTTGTCAGATGTTTCAGTGTCAACAGTTATGGGCTGATCTATATACATTACTGTACACTGTCCTATATGACATCTGATTTTTGTGACACTCGGCTGTGTTAAAGAAGGCAATATGAAATGTGATCCTAAAACTTCTTAACATGTATCACCTTTAATCTTCACTGTAACTGGAACGATAGCCATATATATATATATATATATATATATATATATATATATATATATATATATATATATATATATATATATATATATATATATATATATATATATATTTACCTGTAGGAAAAGTATTACCAAGAATGAATAGGATTGTGTCATACTTAGTACCACTCACATAGCTTGTGTCAGCCGTGTGTCACATGACTGTATAATAATAGAATTGTAAGGCTGATTGTAGAAAATGACAATAGCGCAAGGGCATCCAGTTGTTTTTTGGTCGTAAAAATTGATACACATTAAAAGAGGATTACATTAAGTGCTGGGAGCAAGTTTGAGTTGTTTGGGAAGTACTTGTAATTTTGCAGAGAATGTGATATACCAAAAAATTCCCATTTTGTAGCTTTATAAGGCCTTGATTAATTAATTATCTACATAATTTTTTCAAACAAATGTTAAAAATTTTTCCATTAAAAGATTAATGATGATTTGGTATTCAATCAAACATTTCTGTAATTATTAAACCAATGAATCCACTCCTCTGGATCACTTGTACTGCATCAGAAATTGTTATCAAATGGTAAGATTGTGCACTCTTTAATAAATAATGGATAAAGTAAATGTATGCAACCTTTTATTTACATATATACATCATCATGCCATTTCATTTTTTTTTTTTTGTTACTTACTGAATTTTTAATAATGCCACAATGATACATCCTATTATGGTGCATCACAAATGTGAATTCAGGCCTTCCATAACTTAGCTGAGCAGTTTAATCAAAAACTATAACAGACCTAATTAAGTTAAACAGAAATTGGAACTACTTTTCAGGGGGTGACATGCAGCCATACATCAGCTTGGTTTTGGGTCCATTAATAGAGATAATTAATCGACAGAACACTCCAAAAACATTGCTTGAAAACACAGGTAATTGATGATTACCATTAGGCCAGATTTTAAAGTTTGAATGGTCAGGAAGTGTGCTCAACCTTTGATTAATTTATCATTGTTTTGGCACCATTAAGACTATACTTTTGACATCTTTTAAAATATCTAAAGGTTAAGAGATGTTGTTTTCTGTAGGAAGTTTCTTTAATGTTAATGCTTGTTTTTATTTGTAACAGCCATTACGATTGGCCGATTAGGGCTTGTCTGCCCACAGGAAGTGGCACCAACTCTTAACCAATTCATAAGACAATGGTAATTATTTCTTTGTTAGTCTATTTACTAATTCAAAAGAAGCCCTCTGTAGATAGGTGTTTCTCCTTGAATAACAATGAAGTTGATATAACTGTGGATGGTGTTGATAATGCAGGTGTACATCACTGAGGAATATCCGTGACAATGAAGAAAAGGACTCGGCATTCCGTGGTGTGTGTCATATGATTAACGTTAACCCTGCTGGGGTTGTCCAGGACTTTATTTTTTTCTGTGATGCTGTGGCATCCTGGTCTCAGCCCAAGGCCGATCTTAAAGAAATGTTTTTTAAGGTAAAACTATGTCTTAATTCTTGTTAACCTAGGAGTAAAGAAAACATCACAAGGTCAAAAGAGGAATGTTTCATTCTTAATTAATAATTCTGAATTGATAACATATTTTGATTTTCAGATATTACATGGTTTTAAAAATCAAGTTGGGGAAGAAAACTGGACAAAGTTTTCTGACCAGTTTCCACAGCCATTGCGGGAACGCCTTGCCTTGCATTATAACGTGTGACCTGATCCATACAGGTGGGTGGGGCAGTTCAGCTCCAAAAACCATTGCTTTTAAATTAGTTTTAAAACTCTGAATTTTAAATAATAATAAATTTTTCATGAATAAACTTATGGATAGTTCAACTTGAAAAAAAAAATCGAGTAATTATAAATATGAATTTTCTGTAATTCATCTTCTCTGTATTGGAAATCATACATTGTATTTTAGCCCCACAAAGCCAATGACTAGGAATAAATGACAGAATAATTCAAAACATTTGTCACATCCAAAATATAATTATTGCTTGAATTTATACAATGTGGACATGGGTTTTACATGTATGAATATTTAATTTTTCTTTTTTTCAGGTCCAAGGGGAAAAAGGGAAAGTGCTATCAGGGATATTCCCCAAGGCACTACGGGGTCCAGCACAGGGTTGGCATCGCGTATGGGGAGGGCCAGCTCATAGGTCTCGCTGCCAATAGGCGACGCTTCAACGGGGAGCGTGCAGCAGGCCAATCGCGGAGGGTGGGTCGCGTAATCGGGAGGGCTACTGAGAAAAATCTTCTTCATATCTCAACATCGCGCAATTAACAGGGATTGTTAGAATTTATCTGTAGATTGCATGCCCAAACTTTGTCAGTATATTGATTTGTGTTCCTATAGCAACATGTAACAAAGAACAAAAATTCTTCCTTCATCATAGTGCTTGAATGCATAGTGTTAACGAAAAATGGGGCTCACCATGGAATAAAATGTTTGTACAGTCTATTTCTATATTAGACTTCCTGGAATTGAATGTATTGGTAGATTTGTACTGAAATGTTGTAAACATTCTTAAACCCAAAAAGTGGTGAAAAGGTTGCCTTTCTCTATCGTAATTTAAAATGAAATTGAGTACTGTTGTTTGCAATTTAGTAAATTGTATATTGTGATATTTCTATGGTGTGCCCCCTTTATATAGGTGAAGCAAGCTAAGTTGGTTCAGTGCCCTCCTGTTATGAAAAGTCAAATTTCTTAAAACTTGTTCAGTCCTGGGAAATGAAATTTTTTCCTGTTTTTCATGTAAGTTTCAATTTACTTTCAAACAAAAAGAAAGAGAAAAAAATATTTTACAATCCTTATAAAAAAGTAAAAGATCATCACATAAATTTATATTATTGACTAAATATAGTTAAGGCTATTCTTGTAGAAAATATGAAAGGGTAAGAATGCCACTACTAGTATTTAGCCCCCCCCCCCCCCCCCCCCCCATTTTTAAAGTATCCCAATAGTACCAAGGAATTATTTTTACACCCCCTACCCATATAATGCAATACATTACATATAATACAGTTCTGTTAAAATTACATATATTTGATGAAAGATACTGTTAACGTTCTTTTTTTTGCTTAGAACTCTTCTATTTCATACTTTGACAAAAATATGTGGCTAAATGTTTGATTTTCTCCTCCTCCATTCAGTTTTTGCTGTTAAGAAATGGAACAAGAGTGCAGTTTTTGTGTTTCCAAAAATGGTGTGAGGTCATGAATAACAAAAAGATTTTCAAATATTTATATGAATTAGGCCTTTTAAGCTCTGCTGCCAAGAAACTCTTCTGTTACCATTCTGACCTGAAACCATTTCCAGGGAGATGAACCTTACTTGTTGATAGAAGAATATCATCTCATCAAGATTAAATACAATGTAATAACTATGTAGGACTTGATTAAATTCTAAGGATTGTATAAATGGTAGTTTTTTTTTTAAACTCCATCATGTTATTTTCCATAGACCCCCCCCCCCCCTCCCAAGTAGAGGCACTCCACCCCATCAGGTATTTTACACTGGAATAGCCATAAATGTTAAATTTGAGGAAGGGCACTGACTAGGTAGGGAGTCAACATGACATGGTTTCTTCAGCTTTTAAATGTTTCTTGTTCAGTCTGTGAGAAGGTGAACCAAGTCACACATATTGAATTGCATTTTTGTTGTAAAAAAAAAAGATATAAAATTACTTGTGTATTGAATTGTTAGACAACATCATTGTAAAAGATTTATTTTTAACTAAAAAATTCAGTTATTTGACCTTCTCATGGTATGATCTTGTTTAAAGTCAGATATTACTTTTGTTCATTCAGACAAGTCTCTAATTTTGAAATTTTCGGCTTACTCTTAAGACATTTTTTATTCTGACCTTGGTTCCCAAACTCTCACAGATTAACCCTGCCTCTCAAGCAGCATCCTCCTGTTATCCGTTTTTAGTGCAAGACCAAGCGCCCATTTTTTTTATGTGCATCTGAATGCCAAAGCCTATTTCCTAAGCCTGGACGCAAGACAATCTGCGACCGACGGGGTCGTATAGCGTCATCCATCAACTTCCTATTGAGGACACGGAGCGTGTATTCTGAAGGGAAATAACTCTACGGTTGTAAGAGGAATACACTGAAATGTGGTGTAGATGCAACAGCTAGTGATAAGGTCACAATTATTGATAGAGTTGTCTGCTCTTGTTGATAATTGTGCCAGTATGAAGCAGTCTTTTTTACACAATTTTATGTAGGTTTTAGATGTTTAAGAGATTTTTTTGTACATTTTTTGTTTTAATTTATCTTTAAGGTTGGGTGTTGGTCATGTGTGGAAAAAGAGAGGTAGATATAATTAACAGTCTGGATTACTTTGTTTGTTGGATAATTACATGTGTTGCATTCTAGGAGTGAATATATCTGAAACACTAGACTATGGGCATCTGTAAAGAATACAATGTAGCTGATCCAGTAAAAATCTTCTAGATAAATTAATCATTTGTAAATGGTTTGATGAAAATAAATTTTGGTATTGACTTAAACATTGTATTAAGGAATGCAGTTCAACATGCTATTAACATGTTAAAATTGTTTATGTTGCTCAAAGTACATAGTTATGAAACAGTATACATAGTAATTAACTTCTCAAGGAGTTCAACCTACTTTGAAAAACTTTCACGGTGGCCATGAACTGCCAAGAGTGAGCATCAGTGTTTCACAAAACATATTTTAGTTTTTCAGTGTTGAGGCTGTGATATTCTGATAGTCTGCTTAATGATATATGTACAACATTCCAGCAATAATAAAGGTTTTAGGTTGGTGTGATTCTTGTTAGGTAGAGGAACTCACAGTGTAAGGAGAATTTTGGGTTGTTCGGTAGGGTGGCTCTCGGTAAAGAGAATTGTGGGCGTTCAATAGGGGGTGCTCTGTGTAAGGAAAATTGTGGGTGTTCACTGTGTAAGGAGTATTGTGGGTGTTTATAGGTAGTGTAGTTCACAGTTGAAGGAGGACTGTGGGTGTTGGGTAGAGGGAGGGGGTCACTGTGTAAGGAGAATTGTGGGTGTTTGGTAAAGGGGGGAGGCTCTCTGTGTAACGAGGATTGTGGGTGTTAGATAGGGGAGTTCACTGTGAAAGGAGAATTGTGGGTGTTTTGTTAAGGGGGGGGGGGGGGGGCTCTGTGTAACGAGGATTTTGGGTGTTAGGTAGGGGAGTTCATTGTGTATGGAGAATTGTGGGTGTTCGATGGGGGGAGGGGGGGTTTTCACTGTGTAAGGAAAATTGTGGATGTTAAGTAGGGGAGCTCACTGTGTAAGGAGAATTGTGGGTGTTATGTAGGGGAGCTCACTGTGTAAGGGGAATTGTGGGTGTTAATTAGGGGAGCTCACTGTGTAAGGAGAGTCATGGGTGTTAGGTAGAGGAGCTCACTGTGTTAGGAGAATTGTGAGTGTTAGGATGGGGAGTTTTCTTGGTAATGAGAATTATAGGTGTTAGGTAGGGCAGCTCACTGTGTAAGGAGGATTGCTTCATATTGGTTTTGTTTCTTTCTGTGATCAGAATTTTTTTTTATTTTACTAAGTTTTGCCGTGTTATTTTTATTGTCATGTTAACAAGTTCTCACAAGCATTTGTCGTTTGAGGGAAATTAAGGCATATTTGTTACATTGACTGTTTTACATTGCATGCAATAAAATATTGTCTAACCAGGAAATCTTGATTGTTGATTGATATTTTATTAATTTATATTTAAAATCTCAAATAAAATAAAAATTTGCAATATAAATGCAAACCATTGATGGATTTAAGGGGTTTGCACCCTCTTCCCCCCAAAAAATGGATGCTTTCAGCTATAGCAGTATTGAATCCATGCCTGCATTCAAGATCCTAGGTCTAAGCTAACCCCCATAGACACCAGAAATATACTGCTCATGATGTGTGGTGGGTCATACTCATCTTCAGGGAAAATGAGACAATGTACAGATACATTTTGCAGCCAGTTGAGACTAAAAGGTCTTCAACATTGCTTTCAATCACAAATTTTATTGTTATTGTCCATGGCGTTCAGTCGAATTCTAACACATTATGTATACATTTTATAGCACATTCAGCAGTGAATTATATGGAGTGAGACACAGAATTTCTTTGCATTGAAGTTACGTACCCTCTATACACTAGAGGAAAAGATTTTTTGGACATTGAGAAAATTATAGTGTGTAAAGGTGTAAATATTGAGCTTCAACATAGGGTACCTTGCATTTACCTCCAGGAAAAATGTTCAAGACCATAAAGTGCTGAAGAACAGAAATCACTGTTTACTGAAGTGGGCAAAATACCTGCAGATGAAGTGTTCAATCTATTCATCTTGGCCTATTAAGGACCCTCTATACACTGATGAAAAATGTTTTTTGGACTTTGAGAAAATTATTTAGCCTAAAGGAGGATGTTTTGAAATAAACTAATTCATTTTTAATATAGGGAGCATGCCTTTTTTTATCCAGGAAAAATCTTCAAAGATAATGAAGTAATTATAAATAAAATTCGCTTTTGCTTACTCAAATGGAGAAAATACATACAAATAAAGTTTTCAACTACTCTATCTTGGTCTAATATGATGTTTAGAATACTTGGATTTATTTTAAATTATGTCATACAGTGCAGGTTAAAATTTATTCTATTTCTGTATCAAATGATGGGTCAGTCTAACTACACAAAAGTACCCTGAAATTAGGGTGGACTGTAGAGAGGGTCCTTAAAATGTTCTGAATGCTTGATTACAAATTAAGTAATAAACTTCATTTCAATGTATTTTATTCTTGATCAAAGGCCAGATTACTCTATCTGCATAAAAATAACACAAAATCGGAACTCTTCAGTGTGCAGTGTATAGAGGGGCTTTATCCTGTAACAGTATGATGACTGAAATAAGTACATATGGATTACAGGATTTTATAAGGCTTATATCAAATTCATGTGAACTGTAATGCTATTTTTATAATCTGTTATTGTGTTTGTCATATTCCACCTTCCAAGGTCTGACCTTGACTTTCGTTTTGACCTTGACATATTTTCTAGGTGCATCAGAAATTATTTGAGGATTTTATCATACTTCACATACATACTAGCCACGTGTATTTTGTGTTAAGCTCAGTTTTTATTACAGTACCACAGTACCATGAAGTTACTTGTACTTCAAATATTTACAACAACACTCTAAATTAAGATGCGTAATGATATGGGCCTATTATGAACACTGGCCTGTAACGTTAAACGCTGGATTTGATTGCCTTTTTTCGACAATACACTAGGCCTACTAAGTTATCATATTGTTTCGATCACCTTTATATAAAATAATCATTATTTATCTTTTTCCCCCTTGGATCTGATTATGAATATCTCGTCCCGGATCGGATCGATTAGTATGTTTCATATAGTATTTCCGATGTTGCGATGTCAAGGGAAAAAAAATAGAAAGTAGATGCTGACTGTCTACAATTGATAAATTATGTCACGCTTCAAGTACACATGGAGGGCTGGTAGAAAACGATCGTAAACGTAAGACATTGACGAAATTTTTAACTTTCATGGAAGAAAAATGCACCAAAAAGCAGACGGTGACATGACATGCAAGCGTGGCATGTGCTTGAGAAAAATCAGTCACGGGATAATATGGAGTTTAGAAACAGCATTTTATCAGTAAGTAAGAGTTAAAGTGGCTTACCATATATTTCTTCTCATGCAAGTTTAGCTAATTGAGTTCGCAGATTAAATTTTGATGCATATTATACAAGTGACAGTACTTAAGATCTGAATTTTTTCCTTTTTTCTATACTGGTCCGTTTTCAAAGAAACTTGATATCCTTGTCGGTTTTTGATAGTTTTAAGATTCAATAATATTAACAAAATTGTTTCTACCAATTGTTTAAATACTTGATCATGAATATCATCATCAATAAGCTTTTAAAACTTGCAAATCATTATGTTTCCTCTTTATTTGGAAAAAAAAAAATGGATGAATAGTACTGACAATTAAACTGGCTGTTTTGATCATATCAGCATTTTGCGTTGTTTAGAATAAAGTAACCAATTTTTGATAGAAATGTTTGAAGGGCTATACCAGGTACAAAATATAATAAATTGATATACCTGTAATGGTTTTGGCCACCTGGGTAGCTCAGTCGGTAGAGCACCTGACTAGTGATGCAGGGGTCCCGGGTTTGATTCCCAGTCCAGCTATACATTTTCTTCTTTCCTGTTACATACCAGTTCTTAGTATTGTGTTTATCTCACAGTTATCTACCTTACTTTTGCTCTTCTGCGGGAAATAATATTTTCAACACCAGTGCCAAAGGTTCCAGATAGTAGGACATCTAATTGAGAATGTTTAGAGTATTTATTGACCTCTAAAATGATGATCATCAGTGAGAATTAGAAGAGTAGGCTTAGCAGAAATTATCAATAAACATGATAAATACATGTATGTAACACAAGAAGGCTAGCTCCTCTTAAGTTTTGTTAGTGTGGTTCACCAAAAGTTTGGAAAAATATGATACATGCAGATGTCAGATCAGAGGAATCAGATTCTGTTTATATTGAAAGTTTATGAATTTACAGAGCTGCCAACCCTTATGATTTTGGCATAAGGCTTATGGTTTGAGCATCAAAAATACGCCTTACGATTAATCTATTTATCCTTATGATCTCCGTTTATGTCCATTAAAAGTTTGGAATACTGGTATTCTCCATCTTCCCAAGTCAAGGGTTTCTTATTCACTCCACTCCACATAACAGCATAAACGTTTATGATAACGTTTATGTGGAGAGGAGTGGAACAGAAACCCTTGACATGGGATGATTGGTATTCTCAAGTTTGTCCACCTTCAGTTTTCATTATTTAATTAAGTAAAAATAATCATAGTCCTTAGAGCAATTACTTGCATTGTCATTGTCCATTTCCATGCAAACTTGCGATCTAAGTCATTTTAACAAGAAAACGGAAAAATATCCAGCGACCAGGGGTCCAATCGGTGGGTCAACTTAGTCTTACAATTTTTAACTTTATAAAGCTGGCAGCTCTGAATTTAATTAATAATATTTTTTTTAACTTACTGAAACACTTGATGTTAATCTAGAAACATAGTTGTTTGTTAATTATTTTACCTCTCTTTAAGCATTTTTTCAGTGTAAACCGTTTTTAATGTAGCCATGTTCATGGACACTAGTAGAAGAGTTGGAAGAAATGATGTCACACTAATAGAAGATTTAGAAAAAAATAATGTCGTGTTTTGTAACGGCATGATCATTAAAAAAATAGAAACTTGTAAAATTTAGGATACTATCAAATATAGATTATAGCACAATGCATAGTACATGTATCCTCAAGGGAAGAGGGATCCTATGTCACCAAACACTTTACCTACCAATTGGAGACAAATTCAAATACAAGAAAATTGTTTGATTTCAGTCTTGGACATTTTGTTGGTATGTATCCTATACTGACCATTGTGCTCAGTTTTGTGGTCTGTGGGATTGCTTCCCTTGGAATGGCCAATTTTACCGAGACAGACATAACGGAGAAACTTTGGGTGCCCTCCTACTCCCGCATACAGAAGGAAAAGAAATGGGTGATGGACAACTTTCCACCAGACACCAGATATGCTAAGATAATCGCTGTAGAGAACAACATTCTCTCACCAAGATCATTAAATGCTGTAAGAAGTGTTTTTAAGTTTTATCATGTTTATAATAAATGAAGAAAGATATTGTGACATTTCTTTTTTCAGTAATGGATATATGGAAATTATTTTATTGTTAATTCACGTGTAAAATATCCCAATCAAAGTACTGGTATATAAAATGCTTTGTGCATGTTTTCAGACAGTTTTCCTTTTGTTCACTTGTATTTTTGTTTAATCTTTCAGATGTTAGATTTATATGAAAAAGCAATATCATATTACAAAGATGGATACTCATATCAGCACATGTGCTTAAGGTAAAGGACCAAGGTCAATTTAAAACAAGTCAGTACAATGTCTTAATTTTTAGAAAAGAAATTTTGAATTTAAATGACATGATTCCATTCCAGAGTTGGTTCCCACTGCAAAGTTAACAGCATTTTGGAGATTTGGTCGTACAACAAAACTGCTATATCACATTTGACATACAATGATGTTCTAAATGATATAAATAACATCAAATACAGGTTAGTGAATATAGAACATGTGGCAAACTGTGAAAATATGAGCTTTGATGGGGCTGTATTTTTTGTGTAGTTTTTTTTTGGGGGGGGGGGGGGGGGGAGGGAGGGAGGTGGTTATCGCTTGAACACAAATTTACAGCCTCCTCTATAGTGAAACGAATAACAATTTTTTAGGAAGGCTTCTAATAGACATGTTTCCCTGAAATTAAATCCTAAAGAAAATCATAAAATTCCAATATTCTACAAAAATTTGTGTGATGAGATTAACAGATGTCATAAAATTCTGAAATATGTCATAATCATTTTAGTAAACTTTCCTAATTAAAATGTACCATCCTCTTTCAGTTACTTTATGTGGCCTGTATTAAACTTTTCACCATAACACTTCTTTGGAAGCACAGAATCAGATTTGACAAAAATTCCAGCAAAGTCACTTAAAAAAAAATCCAAATGAAGGGTTGCCAGTAGGAAATTAGGAAAACATGCTGAGCTTATTAGAATAACTTATTTGTAACCGTGGATTATGATGAAGTTATATGACAGCATATATGATAGTTGTGTTGGTTTGTTTTCAGTCCACTGTTTCATAACCAGCTGGATGTGACCACAGTCTTAGGGAAGATTTTATTTGACAGGGAAGGTAAAATCATCGCTGCTGGAGCCGCCTCCATGTTGTTTCTTTTAGAGGATAAAGAGGAGGTAAGAGTTATGTTTCTTGAGTTGTTCTAGGTACATGTATCATAAAACTTCAGAAAGGTTACTGTAAAATCACATATTTTTATGGGGGTCAAATTTCCAAGGTTTGAGGAAAAAAATATTGGATTATGGAGATTTAATTTCATGGTTGGAAAAGTGTTGAGTAGTTATATATGAAATTCTACATTTTGTGATGGACATGAATTCGTGGGTCTTTTCATACCTCAAAAACAACAAAAATTAAACCCCCACAAAAATTAGTGATTTCACAGTGTATTATGATGTCACTGTCATGCTGCATCAAGAAGTTCACTTTTAGCTTAAATATCAGGGTAGGGTTTGACTCCTGGGCAGTTAGTAAAATTATAAATAATTTTTATGGCATTGGTTGATTCGCATGAATATGTTCTTTTAGTCTCTTTTTATTTCTCTGACTTCCCTTTTGTAAATCACTGAGTAAAATCACCTGATCAATAACTTGTTAATAGTCATCTATAATAACATTAAGAAGTTTTATATGATTTATATTACCCCTACATGTATATTGCAGGTAAAACTGCACTTAAATGTTTGTTTATTTGTCAACAGATGAGATCAGCAGCCTTGAGCTGGGAGATGGAGGTGATACAGTTAGTACAAAGAGGTCATCAACATCTACAGGAGATTTATGTGTATGCCACTCGCAGGTAAAATTAAATATTAATTGAGAATATGGAGAGAATTACAAATGACTGTAATGGAATTCTTAAGCTGTGCTAAAGTGATATTGGTACTTTTTCAGTTTGAGATGTAACATTGAAAGAAAGTGTGTTAATTTGAGCATAGTCAGAATTTAGTATTATAATCATGAATTAATACTCTCTGTATTTACATGTAGATTCATGTGATATTATTTGTTGGTGGTGAATTAGCACATTTTAAATAGAGCATAAGACCCTTAATTATGAATCCAACTTTCAATAATGTACACAGTCATACAGTAACTGTAGTAACCATGTATATATGACGTGGCTGTAAAAGTTAAAATTTTATTTTAACAAAATTACTGTAGAGGTACTTTTTTCTGCGTGGTATTAATTTACGCTATGTACGCGGTCACAAGTTTTCCACGTAAATTTGTCACAGTGTACTTAAAGTGCATAAAAGACATACAAAGGCAATCCAAGAAGTTCGGCATAATTTTCTAGACACGGATTGATAAGAAATTATGATTCCGCAGAATTATGACCCCGTGGAGAAAAGTATGTTTACCGTAATTAAAAGAATATATGTTTGTGATACAGCCCCACACTTTTGATTCTGTATTATACATTTTGTCGTTTCTCCAGTTTTGATGACGAGGGATACGGAGCTGTTAACGAGGACATTAATCTTCTCTCTGTTGGCATCTGCATTGTCCTCATCTTTGTCATCTTAACTCTTGGAAGATTTAATCTCGTAGAACACAAGGTGAGACATGTAGTCTATTCACAGCCATCTTTATGTTTAGCTACAACTGTACTCTGCTAATTTTAAGATATAAGACTGTTGTTTTTGTAGTCCTGTAGGTCTGTCTGTCTGTTTTCAGCTTCTGCTTTCCCTAGCTGGACTGTTGAGTGTGGGGATGTCTATTGGTTTTGCTTATGGTTTAGCCACAACATTTGGTGTTATTTATGGCCCTGTACATGCTCTTATGCCTTTTCTGTTGCTAGGTAAATTTTCCATGAAAAAATTGATATGAAATAAAATGTACTGTGTATGTAATGATTTAAAATAGCTACTTTAAGTGAAACATTGTTCTTGATTGGCTGTCTTATTTTGAATTTTTGCTGTATATATCCTTGATCTTTGTTACTAAGGCATTGGTGTGGATGATATGTTTGTTATTGTGGAAGCCTGGAAGAATCTTACCCCAGGGGAATGCCAGCTCCCCCTCCCCAAACAGATTGCCATGACGATGAAACATGCCGGTGTATCAGTGACAGTGACCTCAATTACAGATATTGTAGCCTTTGCAATAGGGGCATCAACTGTAAGAGTTTGATTTGAACATATTTTATTGCTTAACACAAAAGGATTAGAAACAAGTTCTTACAACTTACAAGTTCTTCTCCTGTTTCTGAAGGAGAAATTTGAAATAAAATGTTTCAATGTACAATCTTTATTATGGCTATTTGAATCAAATTGCAAAACTAAAATTAAAGAAAAAATTAAAACTAATTGAGAAAAATACAACTGAAAATTATATTTAAAAAAAAAATTACCATAATACATGTATGCATCCTATGTAGGTGATACCAGGCCTGAGTGCCTTCTGTATTGATGCGGCTCTTGGGATACTGGCTCTATTTATTCTCCAGTCTACATTTTTTGTGGCCTGTTTGACTCTGGATCAGAAACGCATCAAGGCTAGGAGAGATGCCATATTGTGTTGTGTAGCTTACAAAACCTTTGAACCCAATAAATGTAGTCAGAAAAATTTTCTGGCTTTAGCATTTAAAGAATATTTTGGACCATTTCTGATGAAGATTCCAGTCAAGGTCAGTGAAAAGTCATAGAAGAAAAAATCTAGGTCAAGGATAAAACAGATTAGAAAATTGAAATCTTCATACATTGTACTTGCTTTGCTTAAAGTATAGCATATATAGTTTTTCTCAAGAGTAATTGATGGAGGTGAAGAATTCATTAACTTTATTTTAATGATATGCATATTTTAAAATGATTTTAATTGGAATTTCCAACAGATTATAGTTGTGATTGTGACCTTGTCTTTGCTGGGGGTCAATATCTATGGCTTCTATAACCTAAAGCAGGACTTTGACCTTGTTATGTACATTCCGTCGGACTCCTATGCCCACAAATTTGCCAAGGCCCAAGAAAAGTACTTCCCTGACAGAGGAGTGGATGTCAATATTTACTGTGGTGAGTTTTACATGTAAATTGGTAATAGTATGTAAGATATGATAAATAATGCTGGTCAAAGATTAAAGAAGCTTATGTGTTAGAAAGTTATCTGTCATCCATCTCTGTGTCTGTATAGCTCTCTGTTTGATGTTGAAACATCTGCAGTATGGTATGAATTTGAAGGGTTTTGGTTTAAGTTGGAATGAAAACAATGTTTAAATTTAGAAAATGTCAAGATATGTATAATTAAATTAAAAAATTCCAAAAAGAAATGTAACAAATCCAAGTTGTTTTTTTTCCCTGTAAATGGACTATTTTTAAATTCATTTGAGCTACATTCTCATGTGAGATTTCTAGTACATGTGTTAAACTTTGTGTTTCACAGTTTTCTGCAAAAGGATTTGATAAACAAGAATATTTTTAGATGTTGAATAGATTTATGTTAGTGAAGTACATGTATGCTTAATTTACAGTTTTATTTCATGGAAAAGATAAAATTTTCTTTAAGGTGACATACATTATGGGTCTAGCCAGAAGATCTTGAATGACATGTTAGCAAAAATCCGCGCTGATCCAGGAGTAGAGAATGGAACAGTCATTAGCTGGTTCCCTGCCTTTACGGCTTGGCTGAGACGTAGAAATGATTCAAGTCTGGCTAAATACAGTATGTCAAATTCATGTTTTATTTTTGTTATGGTTAAAGGCATGAATTGATAAATCATTAATGTTCTAAAAGTAACTAAAAATATACTGTGACATGAAAAGGAAAGTTGGATTTTATTTAGTAGCCATTGGAAATGTGATATCAGAACACAATAATGCTATGCCTTTTACAATTTTGGTTGTACATTTTGTAAATACTTTGTATTAATATTAGTGATGTTGTTTTGTTTAATTGTGATTCCTTTAGATCATTATCCATATGACGAGCATGAATTTGATTCCTTGGCCCTGAAGTTTATAGAACAGATCCGAGTAGGGCAGGCCTTCAAACGATTTATCAAATTTGACAAAACAATTCACCCACCAGTACTTAAGGTAAAACAGAGATGTTGTAAGAGTGGATTAACTACAATGTAAAGTTTTGGATTTGTATTCAGTTGGGTGAAGTTTGTTTTAAAATCCTCTCTACTAATATCAAGCTTCTTTATTTAGGCTATGTACTTCTCACTAAGACACACCAGTCAGCCAAATTCACAGGCAGAAATTGAAGAAATGGAAAATCTACGAAAAATCACAGATAACTCGGGTCTCCCTGAGGGGATGTGCTTTCCGTATTGTCCCGAGTATCTGACTTATGAGACAAATAAGGTGATTATATTCTATAGCTTCTTCATCAGCAGCAGTGGTTGACGTATTTTGCTTTGTAAGTTTTCTATTTTTCCACTTCTGATAATTCGACATACTGATCCTTTCTTATTGTGTAGGTTTTACAGAGAGAGTTGTACCGTAATCTGGCCTTGGCGGGGGCATGTGTGTTCTTTGTGACTCTGGTTTTGATTGCCAATATGTGGACCAGTATGATAGTGTTCTCTTGTGTCATATTTACTCTGGTAAGTTTCTGTAAAGTTTACTCTGTCATAAAGTTTACCATACAGCAGGTTATTTTTTTATCAACCATAGCAATTTTAAGATTAAAATTACTGTGTTATTATTTGTTGATTGAACTAGATAGTGCATTACATACATGTACTATTTTGTGCATTTACATGTAGGTTGATGTGGCTGGGACCATGTATTACTGGGGTGTTACAATAGATACTGCTAGCAGTATTCTGTTGACCCTGTGTGTGGGCCTGGCAGTGGATTACTCCGCACATATAGGTCACACCTTTATGACAGTGTCTGGCAGTAAAAATGGTAAGCTCATTTTAAAATGGTGGGGATGATTTATTGGTAAATAACTAAAATAAGTCAAAATTTATTAAGAAATTTTACATTGATGCTGACTTTCAAGACTATTGCCACCAATTGAATGTATAATTTCAATGTAACGTTCTCTTTTTGAATAACAGCTGAATGATTTGATCATTATGATATCATTATCATTATGATATGATCATTATAATAAAATGAAAAGATGAGTAACAAACTCTTAAACTTCCAGAGAAATATTAAAGACTCGGGGGGTACATGCATGATTTGACTTCACGTCATGGACATTTTGACTAAGTACAAATGTATCAAAACTTGTAATTTTTTTCTTAGAACGTCCAGTGATGGCCCTGACCGAGATAGGACCTGCCGTGTTTAATGGTGGATTCAGTACATTCCTGGCCTTTGTTCTCCTGGCTAACAGCAATAGCTATGGCTTCTCTTTGTTCTTTAAGGTTAGTAACTATTGGAAACATAAAGAAAAGAAGTAGTACCTTTAAGCTGTAACAAGGATTTCTGTAACACATACTCTTTTAAGACTTTATTGATCCCCTGCTTTCACAAAGGCATGATGACATTAAATCTTATTCTTCTGTATGTCTAGCTGTTTGTCTGTCACAATAAATTTTAAACTTGGTCAAAAATTTGTATGAGAGAAGATGTGGCTTTCAAATATACATTACCTGTTACAAAACACTACTATAATTTCTGACCTTTGGCCTTGATCTTAAAGTCTGACCAATTTCTTGAAATATCTAACATTGGTAATGAAATATGGAGATAACAAACAGTATTCAAACTCAAAGTCCATTTAGGCAATACAAAAATCGTGAGCAGAGCAAACACAGACCTCCAAAAACATCAGAGGTGGGATCAGGTGTCATGGAGGAGAGAGCATCCCCTGCCAACCAGTCACACCCGCCATGTGCTCCTTGTCATGATCGGGAAATAACGGAAAAATCCATAGACAATTCAGTGTGTAAATAATGGCCTAACAATTAGTATGAAAAACGTCAGTCAGCATTTGACTTAATGATAGGTATATTTGCGACAAGGTTATTGTATCGACCATAAAACTTGTAAAATGATGACTTCAAAAGAGACAGTGGATATCCTTATTTCATCAACTTGTTTGTCAATAGCTTGCCTCATTTTAGAAATTGTACGTAGAGCATGCTCTTGCATATTGAATCAACTGGGAGATAAAAACTTCATGTGTAGGTGATAAGGGTATATTGCTACACAGGTAAGGGAAGTTAACAATTTAAAAATTGAAGTCATCATCTTTATCATAATAAAAGCTTTGTTGTTAGGTTACCATTAAAGTCTTTTTCAAGTAAAATATCCAAATATGAAATAGATGTGTCAGATTCTGTGATATCTTTTATTTCAAGCTCACTGGGATATAACTTTTGATAATAACTTTTGAATGAGAGAAGATAGGGCTTTCAGCTAATTTTTCTGATCTCATGACCTTGAAGTTTGACCTACTTTTCCAAAAATTTAAAGCTAGCTATAACTATTATAGAAGACAAGACAGCAATTTGCTTCTTTTTTTTTTTTATGTGCATTACATGTGGTAAGATCTTTTGGAATGTACTATGACTTTTGACCTCATAACCTCGTGCAACTGTGTCCAGGCCCCTTTAAAGTAAATATGTTTTCATTCAGGTATGAACACAGATATGTTCAGGGAAGTATTACATGTAAATGCAAAAATCCATGAAAAAAAATTTTCTGTTTTATTGATTTCAAATGTAAATACTTACAACAAATAATGTCAGTTTAATATTTTTAGGTCACCTGAGTCACTCAGGTGACCTATTGCTATCTGTTTTCGTCCGTCGTCGTCCATCGTGTTAACATTTGAACATTTTCAGCTTCTTCTCTTTAACCACTGAACCAGTTTCAACCAATTTTGGCATATAGCATCAGTGGGTGAAGGGGTACAAAAATTGTGAATTTCGTGGTCCCTGCCCCCCTGGGGCCTGAGGGGTGGGGCTAAAACCATCAAAATTAGTGCTATCTTCATCTTCGCTAGCCAAGGGTTTCTGATCTGCTACTCTCTCACAAACCCTTGGCATATGGTGCTATTAGAAGTTGGGGGTTTTTTTCCCGAGTTGTGATTGGAGTTGATCGACATGGTTCGATCAATCAGCAATTGCTTTTGTAAATGATGATATCTGCCTTCGGGATATATCTTGATTCTTTAGTCTCGGGAATGAAAAACACAAGTAAACAACGATTCGTAAGATAACATGTCACTCTATAAATAGATATGGTGTCATCCAATCTTAAGCTGATGTACAAATATTTTGATCAGGAATCTATTGTAGATGTAGATTTGCACGATAAATAATTAACAAATTAACATTGCTCGATATCTTCTTGTAAATTATTCTTTAAAAACTTAAATTTTCAAATACGCCTTTTATTTTTGTTGATGATACAATTTGTGCGTACGTTGGAAGATTCGATATCACGTGTCGTAAACAATCCCAACTTTTGACTGCACCGTATTCCAAGGGTTTGTGGGGAGAGTAGCGGATCAAAAACCCTTGGCTAGCAAATATGGTGCTATCTTTAAAAATCTTCTTCTTTACTCCTGGACATCAAGCAGTCAAACTGTTGGCATGATTGTAATAAGCATTGAGCCCTCTACCAAAATTATGAAATTCGTGGCCCCAGGGTCAGGGGTTTTGGTGCTAGGGCGGGGCTTTATAGATCATATAGTAAAAGTGCATTATTTCTTTGAAAATCTTCTTCTCTACTCCTGGGTATTATTGAAACAAATTGAATACATAGTTATGATAAGCAAGGGTGACTCTACCAAAATTGTAAAATTCATAGCCCCAGGGTCAGGGGTTGTGGTGCTAGGGCAGGGCTATAAAGATCATATAGTGAAAGTGCATTATTTCTTTGAAAATCTTCTTCTCTACTCCTGGGTATTATTTAAACAAATTAAATACATAGTTATGATAAGCAAGAGTGACTCTACCAAAATTGTGAAACTCATAGCCCCAGGGTCAGGGGTTGTGGTGCTAGGGCGGGGCTATATAGATCATATAGTAAAAGTGCATTATTTCTTTGAAAATCTTCTTCTCTACTCCTGGGTATTATTGAAACAAATTGAATACATAGTTATGATAAGCAAGGGTGACTCTACCAAAATTGTGAAATTCATAGCCCCAGGGTTGGGGGTTGTAGTGCTAGGGCGGGGCTATATAGATCATATAGTGAAAGTGCATTATTTCTTTGAAAATCTTCTTCTCTACTCTTTGGTATTATTTAAACAAATTAAATACATAGTTATGATAAACAAGAGTAACTCTACCAAAATTGTAAAATTCATAGCCCCAGGGTCAGAGGTTCTGTTGCTAGGGCGGGGCTATATAGATCATATAGTGAAAGTGCATTATTTCTTTGAAAATCATCTTCTCTACTCATGGGTATTATTTAAACAAATTAAATACATAGTTATGAGAAGCAAGGATGCCTCTTCCAAAATTGTGAAATTCATGGCCCAAGGATCAGGGGTTCTGGTGTTAGGGTGGGGCTATATAGATCCTATAGTAAAGGTGAATTATTTTTTTGAAAATCTTCTTCTCTGCCCCTGGGTATTATTTAAACAAATAAAGTACATTGTTATGATATGCAAGGATGCCTCTTCCAAAATTGTGAATTTTATGGCCCCAGGGTCAAGGGTTCTGGTGAAAAGGGGGGGGGGGGGGGGACTCTATTGATTATATAGTGAAAAAGCAAAATTTCTTTGAAAATATTCTTTTCTGCTCCAGGTTAAAAAGCAAAGAAGCTAAGTGTATGGTTATGATGAGCAAGAGTGCTTCTTCCAGAGTAGTGAATTGCATGATCCCTGGGTCAGATGTGCTGGTGTAAGGGTGGGGTTCTTGATAATATTGTGAAAATGCATTAATTCTATTAAATGATCCTGTCTGCTCTTAGTGTTAAGCAGATAAACAAAGTGATTACTTATGATGAGCAAACTTCTGGTCCTAGGGTGAGAGGCTCTGGTGTTTCTTGCTGGGGAGGGGGGGGGGGGGGCTCTATTGATAATATAGTGAATCTGTAATAAAAATTTCTTTAAAAATCTTCTCTGCATCTGTGCATATCAGAGGCAAAAAGAGTAAAAGTTTTAATAAGGAAGAGTATTTTTACCAGATTTTTGAACATCTGGACCATTTGGTCAAGTGTTCTGGTCCTGGCCAGGGTTCTATTAATTTGTATTCTACTGAGAGGAGTTATTCCCCTTTGCCATTTACTTTTGATAATTAATCACTGTAAATAATGTACTTGAAAGGTTAATAGAATAAGAGAATTATGCAAGAATTTTTATTGTATATTACAAAAAGTACTTTCATAGTTTTAATGATCAGGTAGACTTGTAAATAATAGAGAAATAAAAATGAGACAAAAATAACTTGTCTTTCTAAATGTTCATCAAAGACCAAGAGAGGCCATTGCCGCCAATGTAAGAGATTTCAACAAGGAATTAAAATAGTACAGAAGCACTGATAGTTTGTTGATATACTGTGTGGTGATAGTGATAAATGGGGAACAGATTAGAACCTAATTTATGAACTGTTAATGAATACTAGACTAATTATTTGGTTGATCCTGATCACCCTATTTTTCTTGCTTTTTGGGCAACAAAGTTTCGCTTTTCAGTTCATTTTATACTCTGTGGATCCTCTAAATTGTTGTATTATACTCAGTTGACCGTTAAGGCCCTTGGGCCTCTTGTTAATTTTGAGATCTTGAAAAATTCTCCAGAAAAGGTGTAAATATTGTTATTTTTACACAAAATAAGTTTGCTATATTTATAATTTTTTTTATACAAGAATTCTTTATAATCATAAAAATTTACAAGGAACTGTTCAGAATTTTGTGAGGGATCCCAAAAATCGTAGCTGTGTCTGAGAATTCACTATTTCCCTGTCGATATTAAACAAGTTTTATTGTATTACTTCAAAAATATATAATTTATTCTAGTATGATGGACAGACAATACAGTTTCAATATGCCATAAATCATATCACCCCAACAAATAAGACCCTGAAAGCAGGGGGTGACAGTTCTCTGAATTTGCTTGTTAATATGTCTTTCTGAATGTTGTTTTATGTATAAAGTATAGTAAACAGTTTTTGGCTGTTCTGTAGACTGGTGTTCCTCCCTGTGTTGTTGAGTCATTGACTTTTAATATATAAATCTTTTTTAAGGTATTTTTCACTGTGGTTGTGTTTGGGCTGTTCCATGGATTGGTGTACCTCCCTGTGGTGTTGAGCTGGGTGGGTCCTAAGCCTTACAATACCTCCTCAGTCCATACCTCACCTAGGAAAGAAAAACCAGAGACGCATTCCAATGGCTGCTTAGAGAACACCACTATACAGAACCAGGTTAGTGGTGGCTACTTTTTAACTATGATATTCAGTGACAAATGAATGAAGGTACATTGTTTTATTTATAATTTGTTCTGAGTTGATATGGTCCACATTAAGTAGAGCTGACATTGATGTAAAGAATGGGGGTGTACAAGGCAAGGACAATCCCCCTCTCTGAGACGATATATTTGTCAATTTGCAAAATTCATGGAAAAGTTATATGTTTCTTAATTTTCTATAATTCTGTTGTTAGTAATGTCATCTTTAACACATTTTGATGGGAAATGCATATACATGTAGTACAAGAAATAATACCCAAAGGGAGCAACAAAAAAGGCAGCAGCATAAATCGAAGGTTTTTACAATGCTTGGATCTATAGCTCTCTGGTTTTTCTGCCCAAATTTTCTCAACCAGAGAGCTTTATTTCTGCAGCTAGCAGACACAATGACATTGCGGTCATGTGACAAAATGCATCCATCCAGTGATAGAAATACATTGATCAAATTGAGTGTAAAATGTGCCAATGTACATGTAAATGTACTCTATAGGTATCATCAAATCCATCATTGACAGCTATATAAGTAGGATGTCACAATTTCAATGGTTTATCACTTCTATTTAAGTATTAATGAACTTTTCGCAATGTTATCCCTGTGTGCAGCCATCTGTAGAACTTTTTATGAGTTTCATGGCTGAAAATCTTTAACTATTGTTTTGAATTATTTAGCCTTTGTTTACGATTACAGATTTTAAGGTTGTGAATGTAAATAGGATGGTGTTAAGTCAATATAAAACTGAATTATCAATGCATTTAGAAACAGTCTGAAATCATATAGTTTTGACAGATAGCCAAAACAATGAATAGATTACATGTTGTATGCCTTCTTTGAGATGTAATTGAGATATGCAGCATTATAATCATACACTTAAATTAGGCAAGCATAGAGTGATGGTGTCCACTTCAGTTAACTTTCTACACTTTAATGTATATCAGAGAAATGAAGTCAATGAGGACTAAATTTGTCTGTATAGTATGCATCAAGTGATCCGTTTAATGTTTCTGACAATTTTCTCAACCTTTTGTATGTTAAAATGTGTGAGAGAGAGAGATTTTATGCCACATTTATAGCATTATGATTAACACTATAAGATTTCTGTATTAAGTTATTATACTGCTTATTTGTGTAGGAAGCTGATACAGGGTAAGTACTATACAGAATATCACTGCATGAATGAATCATCGTGGCTACTACAGCTTAGACAATGGTGCTTGAGTTTTCTTTAAAAGACGTTGTAAAGTGACAGACCTCTGCTTTTCTTCTTTGCTATGCTCTTGTATGTTAAACTAGCATTCCTTCTAGCTTTGTGAAGACTTTTACCTTCATATTGCTTGCATATAGTAAACATCTTAAATTCTGCAGAGTGGTATTCATCATTTAATGCATCATTTTTATTTTGTAAACTTTTTATTACTGGTGTCATCTGTGCACTTTTTAACATCCGGATTTTATTTCTCTTTTTTTTCCTCTTTTGTTTCCACATCTTTTTGATGTTGATGTATCAGGCTGTTTGATCTACCTCACCATGTGTTTGACTGTTCTATCAATAATCTGTGGGTGTGTATGAGATAAGAGCATGTCCACATCCCATAAAACAGATCTCTCTGTTGATTTGAATTGATTTACTTTTGGAAATAGGAAAAATCAATTTATAATTATCTTATGTCTGACAATGTAAATATAATTTCCATTTTCACGTTACTTGAGTTAAATTACAGGAAATTTCAATTAGGAAATCAGCAAGGTTTGGATAGTGTGAATTTTTTAAAGGCTTTTACTGAAATGGAGCATGTCAGTGTTTCCATCATCTGATAGGCACAAGCCTTGATTTTACTGAAATAGTGTTTTAGTTATGATAGCAGTATTGCTATATGATTTTGACAAAAATTACTCCCATGTGTTTACATTCTTATGATTACATTCATACTCACATATCTTTCATAATGAAATAGATATAATTCTTTAAAAGTAGATGTTAAAATGGGAGAGTCTGTGACATGGACATTGCAGACAGAGAATCAAATTAACCTTGTATAATGCCCTATGGTTAAGAATTTACCATGGGATCTTATGCTGTTGACAAAGAGAGAAATAAGTTTCTCCCTGGCTTTCAATATTTTACATGGGCCAAACTGAGCAAAATCTAAATGTGGTCACTACTTTAAATGATTTAGTATTTGAGGTAGTACATCACTATGAACTTACTTAATTATCTGGTTCATATACTAGTATTTAATCGTTTTTGATGAATCCTTTGTCCAAAACTTGTACCTGAAATTTAAGGAAAGGATATTTGCATCATTACTATTGAATTAGTAGTTGTGTGTATTTAATGACCATTATTTGATCACATCATAACAGAAAGAGTTTGTATATTGCAGAGACAGCGAGTTTTCACCTTGTATCAAAATGGAGGAAGTCAATCAAGCGTAACTCAGGTAACATTTAATTGGATACATATCCAAAAAATCTGCCATAATTTAGTGATCAGAATGTCTAAATAGAAACACTCATATTATGTCATAATTACTTTGTGATTTTTCAACAGGGTATTTCAAACTTCAGAATTTCTTCAGGTCAGGGGTGTTTATATAGTAACCAAGATGGCTGCCCAGCAGTGATGGTTTATATCTGATTACTGTCCCTGCCTTGTATTACACCTTTTTAAGTACATTTCCTGTTGTATGTTAACTTATCCGTACCTTTCTGATTTAATATCAAAAATTCAAAATTTCATGCTAATTTTTTAAAAAGTTGTTTCTTGTGCAAATGAAAGTGAAACAAACTCCCATATAACAAGAAAATCTTGCTTTTTTGAGGTTGAATGATTTTTTTCTACACAAACTTCAGTCAAAAGTAACTGTCATAACAATTTTATTTGAATATGTGAACAGGCAATACAAAAATAATTCTCAATACTGAACTCTGTTGACAGGCAATGTATAGATTAGTAATCCTAGATTGAGTTATTCAATCATTGTCACCATTAAAGTGATTAAAGTGCTACTCAGTGTATTCATTCTAATACACGCCTATCGTGGTTGGGTCCAATTTTTTTTTCATCAGTTCAGCTGTCATGCTGTGTTTTGCCTTTTATCAATTTTTCTGAAATGGGTCTTGCCATATGGTAAATATTTTGCACCACAACTGTGAAAAGTTGCCTGTGTCTGTATTGTATTATTCATTACGCTTTTCTCAGAATTTGATTTGAACATATTTTATTGCATTAAATATATACAATGGGATTGGGCACAAGTTCTAAAAACTTAATTCTCCCTCTCCCTATATGTAATATCACAAAAAATTGAAATAGACGTGTCCAACAGTGTGTACAGAATAACAGTGTTATCAGAAGTACATATGTGCATGCTACCAGTCCTAGATCCTCCAAATCTGTAAGATTTTAAGTATTCTGTTCTCTAGTATTTGCAAGAAATGAACCAGACGTTATGAAAGTTTTTAGAATAATTTAGTGTTGCTATAATTATTACTTCAGAGAAAAGATAAATTACTTTTCCAATAATATACCAGAGTAAAAAGTAAAGGACCAATTTCATTTGAAACAGAATTTCTATATTTTTCTTCTTTCATTGTGAATAAGAGCAATAAAATTCCAAAATGCATCAATTTGTGTGCATTGAAAGGTCTGAGATGCTTACATGTATGCACAAAGATTAGCATACAAAAAATGCGTCAAATTCATACAAAAGTATTATGTTAATACAAAGCAATTTTTAAGGGTAAAGAATAGAATTTAAAAAATGCATGTATGTCGTATTTTCAGTATAAAAGAACACTTGTGTTCATTATATTTTATTAGCGATTAGCTTGAACATCATAAAACGGTACAATAATAGCTTCCTTGTCATAGGGTGGATTTAAATTACAATTAATATAAAAGCCGTCGCGCTCTGGTTATGGAATGCATTGAATGGTCATTTCCTAGGGTTTTTTTCGGGTATATGTATTCAAAGACAGCAAGATTTGTTCCATGAATAAATTTCAGTCTCATCCATTAGTAGGATCTCCTTTAGAAGGCTAAAAACCCCAACAAAATACCATATTTATGTATCTTTACTCATATATATAGAATTGTTATGTGTGATATTAAGTTATTTATGTTGTATTTAATCTTGACAGAAGAAAGGGACAACATTTAAGGTGTTTGTTAAATTTGCCATTATTGTTATTGTTTAATACTTAGGTATTTTGTTATACAAGAACCTGTAATGATTTTGTAATGGCCCTGTGCAATATATGACTGAGGACAATGGTTCTGGGGAGTCAGATCAGACGATCCATTTTAGTGAAGCTTTTTGTGCTTTTTAATGATTAAACAATTATCTTGTTATACAAGATTAATATTTTAACCCTGAAATAAGGGTGATAGCAAACATACTACACCTGTATTAAATTTAAGTATTAGAACTTTTTTCATTGCAGCATACTTTGCGATTTCAAATAGTTTTCAGTAGTATTTATTCAGTCTAAGTCTAAACTTATTTCAGTTTAAAAACCTTTACGTTTGTTTCTGATTTGCTTGTTTCCTAAATATAGTAATATTAGTAAATATGCACGTGGTCCCAGTTCCGATGATTTCAGGGGTCCGTGTTTGCTCTGCTCTCAGTTTCTTCATATAGCTGAGTTTCAGTGTTTTCCTTTAGAATTAATAATATAAGGACCATTTTGACATCAAAGGAATAACCTCAATTCTCATTAAAAAAGGAATATTTTGTACATTATATAGAATCCCTTCATATTTAGAACTTGACCATAACACACTAGTTTTTGAATTTAAATTTGGTTTACTGTTATTTGTGTATTCAACTTAGTTTTTTATAGGATTCAAATCATTAAACTTTCTCCACTTTCATTCATAACTGAATTAGAAGGAAAAGCATATTAAAGGCAAATCATTATTTATCTTTCCATAGTTGTGCAGATAATGTTCAAATATCTTATTGATATAAAACATTTCCGTTTTTTTTTAACCTTTAGTGAATGCGAGTTCTTAATAGGATGGATATACTCAACGATTTATCTCTCTGCTCTTATCTTGCCCATAAGAAACCAATACTAAAATACAAAAATAAAGTTTGACTGAGTGGGAAATTTATCACATACATTTTTCAGTATGAACTACACAAAACGCAAAACTTTATCTCACAATTTCTTATCAAGGTACCTTCAAATGCAGGTAATGCATTACTGACAATAATTATTGTTTGTTTTTAATTATAACATGTTGGGTAAGTTTCCATGTGATACAACTGCTGTCTCTAGTCAGGTAAGATGTCCCCTCCAAGTGAATGAAGATGAATTTACAATAGTGCCAAACGAAAGCAATACAAAAATCTTTATTGTTGTTTCCCAGTTTTTAAGCAAAACGTATCCTGTCCCATCGGATTTTTGATATAAGAGTAGATTTATCATACTATAGTATTTAAAATAATCACGTTTTAAGTCAATTACTAGCATATCTTTGATTGCCGATTATTTTATAATGTGTCTTGTATTAACTTTTGTAAGAAAAATATTTTGTGATTTTTTTTCTTTATTAACATTTTGTGATGTGTAGGCACGTACCTATATGGCTTTGAGAAAATTATGTATATGTAAAAAGAAACAACTTTTCACTATACAGTAAATTTTTTATGATGTAACATACATAATCTAGCAATGAATTTAAATAAAATCACCTTTGAATTCATAAATTAATCTAAATTCTTGTTACAAATCACCCCGGGAATCATGAAACAAACAGACCAAGTCAAAATAGCAATTATCTGTAAGATGCGTTTGACGCAAAATTAGCTTTTAGCAGCACATGGGTGATGAAATCTTGAATATCATTTTTGTAACTGTTTGATTTCTACACCATTTTAACACAGTATACAGTCTGTGACAGGTTTCATGATCCCGGTCTCCAATCATTCAAATCCTAGTGCTTGTCAGTGTAATTTAATGCATCGTTTGCAAATAATCTGGTGATATTTAGTTCATTTTACAATAGTGTCAGTGTATGTCCTTTTTATTGTGAATTCTGTTTAGATATTTTCTCTGTTGAGAAATCAAGGTACACTTGTACTCTGTCAGGAAATCCTACACTCAGTCCGGTGAATCTGTAGTGTTAATTATAAACTATTTAATTTATCAACAATAAATATTGTCATTTCTATTATGTTTTGTTTTTCTTAATACATTTCCGAGGATCTTTGTCTATATTGCCTTTTTTTATAAAGTCAGTGATTTGAAAAGCTGTTTAATGTTGGAGAACAATAATTTACATGTTTTGTGACCTTGGATTGGTGAAAAGCATTTTTTTAAAACAGGAATTGGACGGACCTTAGATTGATTGATTATTATTGTTTAACGCCGAGTCAATATTTCAGCCATATTTCGGCGAAACGGACCTTAAGAATGATGAACATTGATTCGTGAGTCTGCGTGTTACAAATACTTGTATATCCATCCAAGTGTTAAAAAATTCAGTAGTTATTTGTGTTTATTAAATGAACATTGATTGGTCACTTAGTGTTTTATGGACATAAATTGTTCATTCAATGTTTTATGAACATGGATTGGTCAGTGTTTTATGAACATGGAATGGTCTCCATGTTTTCTGAAGATTGGCCAGTCCTGTTTTAGGAGCACTGATTGGCCAGTTTGTGTTTTAGGTGTTGCTTGGCTAGTTTGTCTTTTATGATCGGACAGATGGCGCCTTTACATTTGGCATCTTCATCTTTGTTGGACTTCTATCCCGACGTGTCATTTTTTTTACTTGTAAACTTCAAACGTTGTCTAGGGAATTGTTTTGTTTGTTGTTTAACGTCCCTCTAGAGAACTTGTCGCTGATATGGAGAAGCCACCAGTTACCGGTGGAGGGCTGCAAATTTAGACCTATACTCGACACTCAGGGCCATTGAGCAGTGAGGGATCTGAAACTTTTCTTGCCAGCTCCTACTGCGACACGGGACCTCGGTATATACGGTCTCATCCATAGGACCGGTCTCCTCGTCCCGCAGTGGGATTCGAACCCGTGACGTAAGGATCAACTCTAGAGCAAACACGCTTACCACTGCGCCACGCGGGCGACGTCTATGGAATTGAGTGTGCTCTATATGCGGTATTTAAATTGGGAAAATAAAGGGTTAATAAGAGAATGCCGGGGATGCTTTTGAAATAAATTGGGGCCATCAACATCGTTTATCAACATTTCAGTTCGCCTGACCACTCCATCCTTTCAATAAGGATTATAATTTTTGAAAAAATATACCATCCAACTAATAGTCCCACTTTAAGTACTCCATTCCGTAGACAATGAGAAGAATAAAGGATTAGAAAACGGCACCGCATTTCTTTATGGTTGCAACGCTTACATATTTAGTAACTCTAAAGCCTAAAATGTGCCAGTATGAATGTGATGCCTTGACAAAGGCGTAGTCATGGACTTCGATCATACAACTGATGTCTCATATAATTCACTTTTACGTTACATTAATTAGCAATGAGTTCTTCATCACAATCACTCTAAATTACTCGGTTCCCTTGAAATTTTTCAATGAACTACTCGAAAAAGATACAGCATGTCAATATTTGGATTCTTCAACTGCAGAATACAAGCTAGCGTACATGATTAGGGATGTTGCCCAGCACAGGCTCTTTAAGCCATCACTTGTGTCGAAAGATGATAATTAAACCTGTCGGTTCCTTCAACTTAAATTTGCAAACGAAGGAATAGATGCTAGGAACATTAGTAACATTCTTAATTATAAAAAAAAAGTCCAGTCATGTATTCTGCCATATTTCAAGTTGAAGTATACACCCTGCATTTTCTACAGATATTCTTAAACTCGATTCCAAATTTTTCAGTTATAAACAAAGCTTACAGATATTGTACTTCTAAAACAAAGACCTGTTAAGTATTCTTGCTCTTCCTCTTTTTTCAACTATAGTCCCGCTGGACATGTCTTTACTGGTGATTTAAATATAGTTGAAAAATTGCTGCCCTAAAAGCAATCATTTTATAAGATCCTAAACACAAAGAGACCTAATCTTTCGAATGGCGAAAGAACCTCATTTCTATTATGAATTTGGTCGCGGATTATGTTAGACGATGGAAGAACTGAAAACTTTGTCAGAATGGATAAAGTTTTTTAGAAATATGTTAAAGAATCGTTTTAAAAAGTCAAAAGGCAATATGCAAGCCATCTATCCTTCTGTTTTCACTAAATAGGTAGAGACAAAAGTAGTAGAAAGACATGAAAAGTATTTTAGGGTTCCAGCAGACAAGGGTTGTAAAAATATCGTCTTTATTTGTAAGGCTCATTATTACAACGGTATTTGAGAAGAATTTGGTTTTAATTCTACGTCTGGAAATCCAACTTGATAGTATACTAACAGTTCACCATCTAAAGATGATATTCTTCAAAGTTGCATTTCAGTCTTTAAAAATTTTAAATTCCAGTCAACAAAAGTGGGTTTGATATATCTTACTTACGCTGGAATCCTAAACTTCATTAAAATCCCTACAAAGATACATTGCCGGATCCAGCAACTGCTCTATCAAACCCCTATCTTTACTCCTCACAAAACTATTTACTGCTGTAAAGAAGAAACTTCAGACTTACGGTGTGCCACAGCATATTCGAGAAGTGGTGTAAATCAAATGTGTGTTCTCAAAAAATCTGGAAAATTTAAAATCAAATTCTTTTTCAAAAGTCAGTAACATTAAAACGTACGGCTTTTCTACACTTTATACAATCATTCCTCACGATAAATTAAAAACTAGGATTTTTGATATCTTGGACAAATGACTGCTTCTTTGATAAAAATAGAACGGAAAGTTTCATATCTTGTAATTGCTCATCTACAAAATTACTTTGTTAAAAATTAATGATTATACACATAAGTACTCTAAGGTTGATATTAAAAGGATGCTGGAGTTCATTGAAATTCTTTGCATTAAGTCCATGGCGCTTTTTCAAATTTCACACAAAATCGGTCAGTTTCTTGAATGTATGGCAAGAATATGCTGATAGAAAAACATTCATCTTCATAACCTGTTCCCAATTTTTACGTACACCTTTCAATATACCCGTTTAAAGTGTAAATATAGGATCCCCCATGATTTGTGGTTGGATATGCTTTTTATCCAACGAGTTGTGTGTTTTATATCCCCTAGACGAGGCTCGGGATAAAAAAAAAACCCACACAACTCGTTGGATAAAAATCATATCGGACCACAGATCATGGGATATTCTTTTTATCACATGATTTATACATCACTATCAATGTTTTACACTGTTTTTATGTATGAATCCACATCATTTTACTTCATCACTTTCACGCAAAACCCATTGTGACGTCACAGCAGTGGGATATGATGAAAATATCCAGTGAATGATATCCACGGGAGAAAGGGGTAAACATGGGATAAATGTATTATATTCCACATTCAGCAATCAAGAAAGACTTGATATATATGCATGTAGGTCTTGTTTTTTTAACACGTCTATACGATGAACACAAGTGCGGTAGATCTGTGCATGTAAAGGATATCGATGAAAATCGGACGGCTAAGCAAACTTTTGTTTTAAAATTCTTTTGAAGCAGGTGACGTCTCTAAAGAGTGAAAAATTCTCGAATGGGACGTTCCTCCGATCAATCAATTTTTGAAATTCTTTGAATTTTTCCATGGTGCTTTTAATAAAGTTCACATTAAATAGATCATTATTGAAGTACTTTTGATTTTATATGTAATTACTCTTTATTATTTGGACGAATTTAAAAATGATGACCTGCAAATTGAAATTCTTTGAGAAAATTCAGCTTGCCATAACATTTTTTTTCAATTATAACATCATATTGTACATTCATTGTAGTTAAAATTACGGAAGTTACAATAAAATTGACAAATGCATAAAAAGTTTCAGAATTTTTATTTTAGAACTTCATTTTAAAAATGAAAATATGACTACATGCTTAAAGACTTTCAAATCTAAACCAAAACAGAATATGTTTTCTCATAAAAAAAAAAATACTAGATTTTAAAGTGATCCTATTTTACCTTATTTTGTTACACTCCTGACATCTGGTATGGGTTTTTTTTTAATCAAACATTATTTAAAAAATTTTAACACACAATATCTCATTCTAATTTTGTAAAGCAGTTCGTCGTTGATATTTTTTATCATTGACGGACATTTCTTATATCTTCTTGGCTTCAAGATAACATTTCCTTTATATATATATATATATATATATATATATATATATATATATATATATATATATATATATATATATATATATATATATCCTTTTTTTAAATATATGTTTGATGTTGAAAACTATTCTGTGAATCAACTTACCCGGTAAAATGTCTAAAAATGTCTGTGATTTGTTGATATACATGATGATTTCGACTACAAATTGTATCGAACATTTTCTATAATTTGGATTTTTTACTGACTGTAGACGACAAAGGCCAACTAACAACAAAATTGTATGACAAACGAGATGACCTCAGCTTTTTAATCGTCAACTTCCCTTATATATATATATATATATATATATATATATATATATATATATATATATATATATATATATATATATATATAGTAGTAATATTCCGCTATCACCTGCATATGGTGTTTATCTCCCAAATTATTCGTTACTTAAGAGCATGCTGTGAGTACGATCAGTTTTTAAACCGAAGCAGGCTACTAACACAAAAGTTGACGTTACAGGGATTTGAACAACCTCGTTTAAAGTCATAACCGGGTCATATTTTGGCTGAGTTGTTTCCTACCACTTGTTAGACCTTTGTTTTTATATAACTTTGACTACGGAATGTTCTGTCTACTTGATCAATACATAAGGCTCACGGCAGGTGTGGCCGGTCAACAGGGGATGCTTAGTTCTCCTAGACACCTGACCCCACCTTTGGAATCTCCAGGGATCTATGTGTGTGCCCTGTTCACAGATTTGTATTGTTTGAAGTATTTATGAGATCGATCACTGTTCGTTATATTCACAATTTTTCAAATGTGATCACTGATAATTTTAACATTTTTGTTGCACTCCTGACCAACAGCATGTGAGACTTTAAAGTAGAATTGTGAAGCATAAATTACATAAGAACATGGTTCCATTGTTTCAGTAAAGCCATGATGCAAATATCTGAATTTAATTTCAATTTTTTTAGTGTTTTTAAAATTTCTCAAAAATTGAAAGAAAAGATCAAAACACGTATGTATTGATGAATTGAAAAGGGGACATACAGGTAAACTTCGTAATCTCGACATCGACGGGACCATCGGAAAATGTCGAGATATCCGAGGTGTCGAGATATCAGAGTTGAGACTTGACGTCCAAGATTTCATTGCATAGCAAAACAGACAAGCTTATTATATGTACATGACTTTAATATAGACTGTAGCTCAACATATTTCAGAATTCCCTCTATTTTTATTAAAAATCTAGAAGTTATTTTAAAAATCTTGTTTATAAAACGTGTTCCTTATCGAAATATTTCTAAATTCACAAAGTTTCAGCACAAAGTTACAGCATTGAGCTGCATTCGAGTGTAACTTGCCTTTTCGTCAGAACAGGATACGAAATGCGCTCTATAAACTTCGAACCGTATAAAGTCGACATCCGATATATGGTAAAAAAAAAAAAAATAAATGCGGATTATTTTTTTCTTATTTCATTCAGAAAGAATATACAATAAAATTATTTTTTTTAGAGAGATTTGTGTATCTTAACTAACGTAGTGATGTTACGGATGCACGAATTACGACTGATTCTGTCAATCGTGTCGTTAATTGGATTGTTTCCTGTTGAATACATTTTAACTACAAAATATCATTAAAACTTTTTTTTTAATTCCTTAGTATGAATTTTTCAGTGTGTTTTTGTTATTCATTGTACTTTAGTTATCTTTTTCAAATTTAAAAGTTATGTTACGTTTCGATATACATTTACGCAGAATCGTGTAGATTTAGCAATGATATTACCCAAGCTCAATTAACTTCTCAAAGACGCCGAAGGGGCTTGGGATTCACCTACAAACACAGTCTATAAAATTAATTAAGCAGCTTGCAGTCAAAACATGGGTGTGAAAGGTGTGAAACTTTGACGAAGTCGAGATACCCTGAGTTGTCCGTGCGTGACGAGCGACCCTGTCTGACAAACAGTTAGGTTCAGTAGAGCAGAAAATTGCCGATGTCGACATATGCCAGGTAAATTTTGCTCTTGGGACTGTGAATATACGTCGAGATAACCCGGGTTGTCGACATTACCGAGGTCGACATATCAGAGTTTTTGCAAATCATTTATATAGTAAATACTGCCGGGACCGCGGAAGGATGTCGACATATCCCAGGTTGTCGACATATCCGATGTCGAGATACCGAAGTTTACCTGTATTTCTATAATAAAACTGTAATTATTTTAGTACTAAATTTTTCAAATAGATGTTTATTGATCAAATAATACTTAATAGTATGAATAGGAGTCTGTTCATCATTGAACTTGAATCTTTATAAAAATGTGTTGCACTACTGATCATGGAAATATGGATCTGAAACACAGACAGATCCTGTAAATGATAGATTTATCTGATAAAAATGTTCTTTGTGTCTTTATTTTCCAAAAAGGAAAGAAAAACATAATATACTGATTAAACAATTTCCAGGTTGGAGAGCAAAACATCAAATGTTGCATTCCTGACATAAATGGGTATCCACAAATATTTGACTCTTGTTTATGCTGCTTGTGATTTAGATAACATTTTAAGTCTTTAAATGGTCTATATGTTGTTGTTATACATTTTTAAAATTCATTTTTTTTACTTAATTGGCATACAGATTTTTAATTTCAATATATTTTGGTATCATTACATTTCAGGAAACTCTATCTCCAATAAATTTTAAACTATTATAATTTATTTAACAGATCTTCAAAAAATATGGAATTTTCAAAATGTAGCAAAAAGGTATTGCACACCTGACATTTTTAGCATAATTTTTGTGCATAACTTTTTTGTATCTTAAGATATCAATGAGATATTTGACAGGCATTTAGCCAGTATAAAAAGACACATGCAGAGCAATAGAAATTTATTCACATAGCCTGAAATTTTAGTGCAGGTTGATAATTATGTCTGGTCATTTTTTTAATTCACCCAATTGCGAACAAAAAAATTGGAAGCCATCGGGAAAAGATTTTTTTTTAAATATCTTGATCTCTCGGAAGATTTGCTTTTATTTGTCCTTTGAACATCGAGTTTTCTAGAGTCAACTTTATAATAATTAGTTACCGTTTAAGATCTTCCGTCGATATATGTACGTCTTGATAGAAGCATCGATCTTTACAAAACACGTTTTTTTAAAAAAAAATTCCGACATCTGCACCAAACACGTGATAACCGAGATTCCCTTGGTCATAAATTACATTAATGAACAGAGCCAAGACGTTATGCTTTATGGTCGTAAAAGCATCTTCCTGAAACAAAGACTCGCATTACGAATTTTTTTCCCTGGAGGAAAAAAATCATTACCGGTTTATTAATCAGGTCTGGATGATTTCTATATTTGGATGCCAAGGACAATATCCGTAAATTGCTATAAATACACAGAGTAAACAAGGTGCTATCCTTCTGACCAATCAGATAACGGGATTTAGATAAACCCATGAGAAAATATATAAAACACGTAGTTTTAATTTAACTTTTATACACTATTAGGAGTCGTAGACTATATATAACAATTCTACTGTGGACAAACAGAAAAGCTAAGACTGTTCACGGTAGCTCAGTCGGTAGAGCGCTCGCTCCGTGATCGGGAGGTCGTGAGTTCGAATCTCGGCCGCGACTGACCTAAGTCGATAAAAAAAAAGGGTAGCAACTGTTCCTTCGCCATGCGCTCGGCACTTTGAAGTGAAAGTTGCGGGTCCTTCGGATGAGACCTTAAAAACCGAGGCCCCGTGTCATGGCAGAAGATCCCTCACTACTCAATGGCCCTGAGTGCCGAGTAAAGGTCAAATTTCGAAGCCCTTCACCGGTATATGGTGACGTCTCTATATGAGTGAAAAATTCTCGAATGGGACGTAAAACAAGGCAGATTTTTAGTTTGTAGAACCTGGCATGGAGATGTATTAGTATTGGGGATATGGCAATAACAAAATTTTATTTTCTGTGTATAACAAAATTGTCCAGTTTCTTCTATGCGCGGTAAAAAACATTCACTTTCATTCCATGTTTCCCAATGTTTCGATATGCCCGTCTAAAGTATAAATTTATATATTATATGCCTTAGTCCGCACTCATAAAATCTGTTGATACAACGAACACGCGTGCAATAGATATGTACATAAAAACTTCACGATATCAATGAAATTTGGACCGCTAAGGGAAAAGCTTTATTAATAAACATAGAGCATTTTCTGGTATACATAATTGGCAATATTTTAACGGTGTGATGTTCCTCTATAGACGATAGCACTTTATTACATGCATTAATGTGTTTTATGTGTGTGTGTGTGTGTGTGTGTGTTTTCAGAGAAAAGAAGTCCAGATATATGGGGAATACCATATTCTTCCAAACGGTTCATATCTTACTTCTATAGACTGTCAAAATATCATTTTGAGGAAAAAGCAAGAGCACGTGTTCTCTTTTTGTTCCTTCGAAGGTCTGTTTGGGTATGTGTGAAAATGCTCTTTTCTGATAGGTCATGAAAATATTTTTGACTTCCATATATGGAAATCGTCCATACCTCTTTAAATGTTGAAAAAGTAGCTAACGATTATTTTTTATTATCATGAAATCTTGGAACTGTCAATAAAGGAAAATGAAATTTTATGATTATTTCTCTGATCTATTTAACTCTGAACAAATATCCTGGTCACTTCAGATTTTGATGAAGAGAACTGTGGAAAAAAGCATTTTATGATTGTAAAATAAACTCGTAACTTCAAAAGGAAGGGAACTCCTCGACTCCTTTTTTTAAAATCAGTTTTGATAGTTAGATGGCCTTGAAGCATTAATGTTTGTAAATAATTTGATTTTTGGATTGTATATACCGGTACATGTACTTTGACTGAGACTTAGCAGAGAGGGCGAAAGGCTATAACCTCCGTGAGTTCTAAATAATTCCCCCATCAGTTCAATAGTAGAAATAACTGAATTTTTTATAAATAAAAAGAATCAATTATAATTGAAAATCATTTAAGAATTAACATTATTCTAACTACAGACATATTTAAACTATCCCCCAGGGACAGTTAACATTTCTTTTATATAAACATACCTACGGTATGCAAATAACATTGGCTATCAATCAATTAATGAAACCTCCATGAGTTCTAAATATTTCCCCCTTCAGTTCGATAGTATGACTGATGTGTCATCTATGCCATTCCGTTTGAAGTTAAGTGTTTATTTTATCATCATAAAATGCTTTTCCACAGTTCTCTTCATTAAAACCTGAAGTGGCCAGGAGATAAATTCTTGTTAAAATGGCAACTGTGAAATTCAGGTGAGAAGGTATTAAACAGGGAACCCTTCAAATCTTTTTAGGGCACGATTTGATTGTTGAATGGATATGCTGCTACACTGTTTGTAAACAACTTGATGCTTCAATTGTATCTACTTTGACTGAGACTTAGCAGAGAGGGCGAAAGGCGGCAATGGAAATCAACCAATCAGGGAGCCGATAATTGATAAATAAAAGTGGTTAATCCAGTGACTGCAATTAATGGCACGTTAAGATGACCGAGATTGATAGTGTAGCAGACTCCCCGAACAACAGTTTAATAGAACTAGTGACCAAATCAAAGTGGAAAACTTCACCAAAATATAAGTTCTTCAGAAAGAGGAATCTAATGGGAAAACAAGTGTTTTCTGAGAATCATAAAAGGGAACAAAATGTTAAGGACAATGAAGTCAAAGGACATGTTACTGGGGATAACCCGGGAACGGAGCAAAGTAAAGTGTGTTTGATGAGCGAAAGCCCTTATAAAATCTGTAAGGTAAGGAATCACCTTAAATGATTCGTAAGGTAAGAATATCATAATTATTTTATAACACCTGGAAGGCAAGAAAAAACCACAATCACCTGAATAGAGAGTCTGCAAAGTAGGAAAATCAGAGAAACCTTAATGAACTTTAGGTAAGAAACCTACAAAATCATAGAATCTCTATAGTAAGAAAAACTAAGAATCTGTATTTTAAAAATAATACCAGAATTAATCTTTAGAATTTGTAAAATAAGAAAACTAGGCTCATTTTATAGAATTAGCATGTTCTATCTATGGGATAAGAGAAGCAGAACTACCTAGTAGAATTTGTAAGGTAAGAAACCAGAAACGTGCACCCTGAGGGATCTGTAAAGAAGACCAGATCAATGTAAAATAAGATAATCAGCTCTTGGAATCTGTAGGGGAAGAAGAAATTGTTAAATATAAAGCTAAATTCACTTTTAAAATATGGAAAGAAAATCGGGATAAACTTATAGAATCAATTAAAAAATCAGAATCACCTGAAAAGAGACCGTAATCTGAATTTGTATCATGAAATAAAAACAAACTTTTTTTAAATTAGTATTAGAAAATAATCAAGTAACTGAAATTATCTAGATATAATCAAATATATAGTGCAGATATGGAATTCATCAAGAAATTTAGTTAAATGAAAGCTTAAGATTGTAACTATATCATATGAAAACAGTTTCAATGTAAATTATCGGAGTGAGGACCCTTCAAGAAAGTACTGTTACATATTTTGAATGAATGTGACAGGCATTATTTATATCCTTTTCTGAGGAAAAAATCGGACGCTATCTTTTGAACAAAAATCCAATATCGGCATAGCTGTCAAAGTTTTATCAAGAAGTGTACATTAAGCCTTACTCTTAAAGGTGACAAGCTCTATGAAACAATGTAAAATATCCCAGTGATACGGAATAAGAACCAGAATTCTGAGCTTTCTTGTATAAACATAAGCAAAAGAATTCACTGTTAACAGGTTTGTGTTTTAACTCAAATTCAGAACAGATACAGCGAATCTACAGGTATCTTTCATACTCATTAGAAGCAGGTTCGGAAACTGCACAAAAGTAAGCAATTTTTACAAAGAACCCTTTGAATTAAATACAAGTATGTCTTTGTATAAGTTTACTTATCTGCATAAAAATGAGTATAGAATGTGTTCATAAATAATTTAAATATTTATAATTATGTTGGTGGAGAATAAAGAAAATTGCGATCACCTCTCTTTCATATCCTTAATACGGATCAATTTATAGTATGTAATTAATTATTTAATCATTATATATGATTTAAATTGTTTTAATATGACCTAATGAAATCAAGGTAGGGTCGATTAACTCTGTAAGTATGTTTGAAAACATAGTTTTCCTATCTGTACTTCATGCATATTTACACATTCCATCACTCATTCAATTACAGTTGCTTCGAGAGAAAGACTTTTTCTGTTAAAAAATTGTCCTAAATGTTGACAACCTGCCCACGAACGGAACCCTTTTAATTCCGAGTGCACAATTTTCAAAGATCTGATGCGTGTCATTTGATTTAAATGTAAATCCTGTTAGGATCATATTGAGTATGTCCCAGGTTAAGAGGCGGAGATATTCTCTACCCCGACTTCTCCGTCGTGGAAGAACGGAGGAAACCCGAGGGGAAGTGGGAATAAACTTATTAAATCCTGTGTACAATGGTGACGCAACAAACTCTGAACCAAATATCCAAAATAACGAAGATTTCGAACAGGTTAGAAAACTTTACATATATATACTGAGAATGAACACGTTTGATACGATGATATAGGTAAAGAAATGTGGTTGTTACTGAGTATATATAAGAAATAATTAACTCCGTGTAAACCAGCGAGTGACCTCCTTTTTGCATGAACGATTTGATAATCTTAAGCATACGTTTATATGTGTATATATTAGTGCTTTAGCAATTTAAAGGTAAGTAATTGTCAATAACCGATACAGGTATTCGGTCAGAACAATTCATAAATTGACGAATTCAATTAAACTCGTTACAGAATTATACATTCTTATTTAATATTGGTCATCTGAAATAAATCAATTACATAACTTTGAAATCTAATTTCGTTATAATTAGTTGCGTTTCCCATTACAGAACCCGTGTTAATAGATAGAATATTGTAGACTTCCGCCAGCTCCAAACAATGCATGTCCTGAATTTTATTCCTCGTTTTGAACACATTTTTACCACTATCATGTCCTACCCAGAATTGTTATCAGTGTCCCGAACCATTAAATAACAAGGACGAATCAGTTGCGGAGGTTTATGACCAAAACAAAGCAAGTCAGGTGCTTTGTAAACATCACAAACCGTCAGCGTCCATAGAACCGATAGAGGTGCATTATGTGTTCAAACATTGGTCCATTAATACACAATTAAATATAAAAAAGAAGAAAAATATCAGTAAGATTTCAAAGGAAACATTTTTAGTAAAAGAAACATTTTTCACGACCTCAATTATTTTAGACCATCAAGTTAGCCGTGGTTTGTTCCTGTGAGATAAAATTGTTTAAAAACGATTTTTTTGAAAAGACATTGTCTTTCTTATGCTGAATTCTAATCTATTGGAAGGATGTCACAATGGTAAATGAATTTTCTAAATTTCAAGATTTTCTTAAGTATTTTGAAACAACACAATATCCACTGACTTCAGTTTTTACTATATTAACTTTTAAATTGTACATGATTAAAATTAAAAGTTATGGATCTGAACATGTATAGTATATCTGATGAATTGATTAGCGTTGAAAGCTAAATTGAACATGAAAAGTCGCTGGCCCATCCATTTTCCACGTTAAAGGATATAATTTGGAAGGTAATATTATTTGAAGTGATTTTTAACACAGTTATACTTAAACTAGTTTTGAAAATAAAAATCACTGAGTGGATCTATATAACAATTAATAAACATGAATTGCTGAGAAAAATCGGCTTTTCTTTCTATCAGGATCTCGATAATATTGTTATAAATACATTTCATAAGGATAATGTCTCTTGTCTCCAAACTATGATTGACAATTTTCTACAAAATACCGTTGTGCAAAATTCTTGTCCCTGTGGAGATGTCAGTAATATTCAAATTATTTTTACAGATAGCACGTTCGGGAAACCTAACCGACCTACAAAAATTTCTTGATGACGATCTATCCCGAATCAATGTCCAGGACGTCCGTGGATGGTCGGCGGTCCACCATGCCGCCTCTCAGGGGTTCACAGACATTATCAGCTGCATTGCTTCTCGTGGGGGAGGTATGTAGACTCAGTGTAAAATTAATATTACCTGTAATTGTCCCATGCAAGAAATTAAAAAAAAATCAAATTTATCTTGATTTGTGAAATACTTCAGACATCAACCTGCAGGACGCTGAGGGCAACACACCGTTACATATCGCCGTTGAGAAGGAGCAAACAAAGGCAGTGGAGACTTTGATCAAGCTTGGAGCAAACACATCCTTACTAAACGACGCCAAAATGGCACCCGTCCATCTCGCTGTAGATCTGGGACTTTTAGAACCCCTGCAAGTAAGCTCAGATTTATCAAATTTACGTGGTATATTTCGACACCAACTGAAATGTTCTAAATTTTTGTATTATTATTCACCATTTTTCACATATTTAAATATTGATATTTATTTAGACAATTCTAATTTTGGACAAGAAGAGTGCTGTCATGCCGGGTGAAACTGGCGCTACACCGCTCCATTACTCTGCTTATAAAGACAGACACGAGTGTGCTAAACTTCTGGTATGGTATCACGCCATTGCCCTCTTACATCATAAATGTACATGCTCATGCAAATCTAACTGGAAAGTTTAACAATTTGTTTTTATAACAAAAAGCATTTCCATTAAAACACTTTTTTGAAAGATGTATAATTAACAATGGAAATTAAAAAAAATGAAGGGTGATCAGAAGGTTCTGAAACTGTCTATAAAACAATTAAATAATGCACAAGCCTTATCAATTAAACTTTTCATGTTTTATAATTTAACATAAATGCATTTGTTAGCATTTTTTCTGCAATTTGATGCTTTTATCACAATATCAAAGATTGATCAAAATTTGGTGAGCGAAACTGGCGCAATGTCAAAACTTGAAAAAAGATTTATTTGCTATGAAAAAATGCTGAAAAAAATGTTTTAATCCATATCCAGATAGAAAAAAAATTCTGGTGATCTTAGATCCACATGACAAAGCTTTCTTGCAAAGAAACGTAAAGAAAAATTAAACATCTGAAGAAAATTTCAAACGACTTGTTTAAAAATTCTATTTTCGTACAAAGCACTATACGTTGTTATAATCAATTTGAATTTTAAATCAGATTTAAAAGAAGCTAAAATGTATGGATGATTATGTAAGGCATCAGATGCTTTCAAAGTTCAAGAAGAATAAATAGAAGGAAGGAATATTGATAGGTTTTTCCTGACAAGTGGGTCAATTTTGCTAATAAATGCAGGATCTAAATCATCGTTGGGACTTTGTTCCAGCTAATTCGTCCATTGTACCTAATTTTTTTTCTGTCAAGTTTAAAAAAATAATTCATCTTACTAAATTTTTGAACAAATGTTGTTAATTTCTAAAACTTGCATGAGAAAAATATTTGAAAACATCACACATAGGAACTCAGTTTCAGACCTTTCTGATCACCCGTCATAAATCTGTGTTGGCCTTTTGTTTAGCAGTAACTCTTCAAGATCCACGGTTAATTTGATTCGTATCTATTGAGGTAGTCTTATTCTCATTGAACTCCTTTCTAAACAATTAAGAAAGATTATAATGATTTACCAGTTTTGTATCAATCACTGTATCAACCTTTCAGTAATATGTAAATACAATTAACATACGTACGTGTTATAGCTAGAGCACGGAGCCAAACCTTGTAAGAGTTGTGACGATGGGTTCTACCCTATACACGCCGCGGCGACAAGGGCAGCAGACAAAACCCTGGAAGTGCTCATCAAGCATGGTAAAACGGGAATTATATTAGGCTTCCCTCAAACAGTTTATATGCAGTTAATTTCCGTAGAGAAAAGCAAGAATGTCTCTCAATGGCCAGACATACAATGCTTGGTTGTCTGGATAAAAGTTTGAGGAAATAAAAACTATAATTGTTCACACACATTTTGATTATGCTTTGCAACTTAAAAAACTCAATCAAAACAAGTCATTGATGATTATATATATTTAAAATAGAAACAGTTAATTAAGTTTGAGAACGGTCTTCTTGATTTAATTCTGCATCACATTGTATATTTAGTTGAGAGACTTGGCTACTCCCGTGAAGTGGTTCTTTCCTTTACTGATAAATACAACAACACCCCGCTCCATTCCGCCGTCAGCAGTGGAGACCCAGAGGTATGACGTCATAGCAGGTTATTCTCCCATTATAAAGACAATGGTCATATACCTTTATTCTTTCTAATCCTTTGTTTTCATTAATAGGCTGTGACTGTTTGTCTCAATGCTGGAGCTGGTCTGGATGTACAACAGGTAAGGTACACTCATCATTAAATTGTACAAACTGTACAAACTGATACAGTTGGGTAATCATGTATGAAATCTGAACGACTTTTTTGTTTTCAGGAAGACAAGTCCACTGCTCTACACTTTGCCTGCGCTCAGGGCGGACTCAACATCATCCAGATCATGCGCAAGTTACAGCCTGAAAAATTCATGATTGCCAGCAAAATGACAGACATATTACAAATGACACCTCTTCACAGGGCGGCGCTGTTCAATCACGTGGCAGTCGTCAAGTTTCTAATTGAAGAAGTAGAGTCCATTTTATTTATCAAATATGGTCTGCTTTGATAATGAAGAAGACACCCATTGCTCGTTATAAAAATATTTGTGTTTATTTTTTAAATTGAAAGGGTGTTGAGGTTAATGCCCGAGATTGCCTGGATAGAACACCACTTTTGCTAGCGGCATCTAAGGGAGCATGGAAGACAGTGCAACTTTTGCTGGAAAATGGCGCCAATATCTCTCTCAAAGACAATAAAAATAGAAACTTCTTTCACCTTGCCATCAAATATGGCGGTAAACTTAACCAATTCGGTGTTGAGAGTATGAAAGTACGTCAAGTGAATACACACTTTCCTTTTTTCTTTGGCTTGACATCCTAGATGCTTTTCTTGTGAATTTTTATTCAGTCAAGAAATATCCTAATGGTATTTTTGATGAAATGTTTATTGTGAAATATAAGATTATGCATATCTTTGAATGTGTCTTTCCAGCATTTTAAAAACTTGTTGAATGAGAAGGATGATTACGGCTGTACACCATTACACTATGCTTCAAAAGAGGGATACCTTGTAGCCTTGGATGACCTGATTGAACTTGGAGCAATTGTCAACCCTAAGAATAAGGATAAGCAATCTCCTCTCCACTTTGCAGCAAGGTAGGACTACTCAAGTGAACTCATTTGAAAATATCCATGTAGAATCTTCCAAAAATGACAATTGATTTATATATGTGTAGGTATGGTCGTTACAACACTTGCAGACGATTACTGGACAGTAAGCTAGGACCAAACATCATAAATGAATCAGACTGTGACGGCTTTACGGCGCTTCATCTAGCGGCACTCAATGGCCATGTCAAAATTATCAATCTCCTGATGCAGAAAGGAGCATGTGTCACAAGGTATTTAACAAAGATTACGCATAAGTCACAATTTGAGCAGCAAATCACAAAATCTACAAAATTCCAAAGTACATTCTGAGTTATTTTGAAACTTGCTGATTTCTGTCTTCATAAAAAAAGCCGCACACCTGTACAAACTTTAATATATATTGGCACCTTCTCCTAAATGCCCGTAATACCGTAACGGGGTAAGAATTGAACGTTGGAGGATTTCATATCTTTTTGATGTATGACAAACGGATGACTTCAGCATTTCCATCTGTATATGGTGTTTATGTTTCCCAACTGACTCGACACGCAAGAGGATGCTCTGAATATAAACAATTTTGAAACGGGGACAAGCTACTGACAAATAAGTTGATGTTTAAAGGATTTCAACAACCCACTTTCAAGTCAGCGTTTTGCAAATTCTACGATCGTTATGATGACCTTATTTGTAAATACAACCTATCATTGGGTCGTATTTTTTTGTTGACATGTTTAATACTATTTAGTGGGTCATTGCTTTTATGTTAAATTTTACTACGGAGTACTCCGTATACTTCATAATTATTTAAGGCGGGTGTGACCGGTCAACAGGGGATGTTTACTCCTCCTAGGCATCTAATTACTACAGAGGACTCACGGTGGGTGTGACCGGTCAACAGGGGATGTTTACTCCTCCGTGACACCTGTTCCCACCTCTACAGTTCCCAGGGGCCCGTGTTTGCCCTGTTCTCGATTTGTTTTGTTCATTAGATTTATACGATAGTTCATTTGTTCGTTATCTTCGCATTTTTTCATTATTAACTTAATATTTTGATGAATTAATCAGCTAAGTTTTAAAACAGTAAGTCAGATTTACTGCGAATTAGCGAAAGATATGTAATTGCTGTATTATCACCCTTAAACTGTTCACATACACTATGCTAAAGTATTCCGATTTATTGCAGAAAATTTTGTTTTTACCATATTTGATATAGATTGTAAAATATATAGTCTCTTCAGTTTTCACCTTATTTCATTTCGGGGTGAGAAGATATTTACCTCGTACTTGAAAAGTAATTAAGATACAATCACTTTAAAATGGAATCGTATTCCAAACACTTGAGACTGTGCTAAATCCCAAGTTACAATATCAGTCGCAATAATTCATGTAGGGTTACCAATGATCAATGAAAGATCAGTGTTTGTTAAGAGTGAAAATCAAGTGTCCTTGCGTTTTATTGGGTTGTGAATTTTAATCTAGACAGCATAGAACAAGTGCTTAAAAGAAGTCATACATAACCATAAACGTGTTGATATCGTCATGAATTTCCGTTTGACATTTGTACAAATATTTGATTATTAGGTCAGATTATAACATAAGGATTGTGGGTCAAATTATATCAATAGCACAGTTTGAACGCGTGAGCACAATTTACAGTCCTGCAGCTGAAGGGAGAATAAGAAACCTTTTCCCCCCAAATAAGAACCTATTTTTAAAGACGTGTTATATCTCTGATAAGAACATGTCAAAGACAGTCTTAATTTCGGTTTCTGTATATGTCATAAATCACAAGCTAGAAACTGTATGATATTTAATCGATCATATGTTTCTGAAATTGGAACGGTTATGAGAGCAACTACTCAGTATTTAAAGCAAGTATATTTAGACATTATATTAAGTATTTTACCCTTAAATTGTTCTCAGTTTTAATAGGTCTTTTTAAGATAAGATTTACGCTTAACATATACTAAGTATTCATATCCATCATTATAAAACTTAATTTATTTACAGCAATTATTGAAAAGATAAATCCATTTAGTACAAGGACGTAAACAAAATTAAAATAATTAAAAACCTCCTACCAAGACTATTGGTATAATCGTATTTACATACTATAATTTTAAAACAGAAAAATAAATCTTCATTAAAAAGTCTTTAATGGTTTAACAGTACTCTCGTACCAATCCAGCATAGGCAAAAGGTTAGTTTATCCATATTACCCCCATTTGTTTATATGGGAAAATAGTACTACTGAAATATGAAGATAACGAACAGTAATCAAGCTCAAAAGTCCACTGGAATAATATATATTTGGAGCAGAGCAAACACGGACCCCCTAAAAATATCAGAGATGGGATCAGGTGCCATGGAGGAGTGAGCATCCCCTGTCGACCGTCATACCTGCCGTGTGCTCCTTGTCATGATCGGGCAGACGGAAAAATCCGTAGACAATTCAGTGTGAAAATAATGGCCTAACAAGTTGTATGAAAAACGTCAGTCAACATTTAAACGCTAGATTGTATTTGCTAACAGTGTCATTGTATCGACCATAGAATTTATGAAATGTTGAGTTTAAATGGGACCGTTGATATTCTTGTATCATCAACTTATTTGACAATAGCTTACTTTGTTTTAGAAATTGTTGTACGTAGGGTACGCTCTTGCTCATCGAATCAAGTGGAAGACATAAACTCCATAAGTAGTTATATTATGGTTTGTTGCTAAATAAATAAGGGCAGTTGACGATAGAAAAGTTGAAATCATTTCGTGTATCATTAAGTTTTGTTTTTAGTTTGCATTAATGTGTTCTAGTAAAATATCGAAACATGAAACAGATGTGTCAGACTCTGTGGTGTATTTTTCTTCGAGTTCAAAGGGATATATCGATTCAAAGTAGGGAGGAAGTATTTTGCTACCTATCTATCCTATTTTTATTCTTTCAGAGCACACGATGACAACTCTCCAATCCACATGGCAGCCATTAACGGGTATACCAAGTGCATCCGGGCTCTTCTTAGTGTCCATGCCAACATACTCGATGTCAAAAACAAAAATGGGGTACAAGAATTTGTTCTGTTTTGGAGGGTCTGTTTTATTTTTAAGAAAAGATAAACTGGTGACTCTTTCTAAACTGATCATCCTTCAATAAAACGTACAATAGCAAGAAATACGAAATATGTTATACAATCGCTGGACATTTTATGCAGATAATTTTGGTACTTAATTAAAAACAGCTGTTTTTCTTCTTGTAGGACACGGCTTTACATCTTGCCTCACGTTCTGGACAATCAAAGGTGGTCGATCTTCTTTTGACACTTGGCGCAAAAATTAGTTTGAATGGAGAGGAGAAGAGTTTTATGGACATTGCAATTGAGAATAGACATGCATTTGTGGCAAAGGCAGCGATTAAACACGCTAGGTCAGAATTTTCGGGGAATATATTTTATCATTTCGTTGCCTGTACAGTTTATACTCTTTAGAAAGATATTAAAAAAAAATAATTCTTGAAGTAAATAGATCAATACTACCAATTTGTTTCATTTCTCTTTGTATTGTTATAATTAGATGGAGCGAAGTACTACACACGTGTTCCAAAACCTTTGGTTGCCCAATGCACGGTCTGATTAAACACCTACCTGATGTGTGTATGGTAAGAGCGAAACGTTTTCTAAATATACCTTAAAAAGATAATTGATGTTATGAAAATAAAAATAATGTAAATTATTCGTTTTTTTAATTTCAATAGACGGTTCTGGATCGCTGCGTCACAAGTGGTGGTGGAGATTGTCATAAGAAAGATTATTACGTAAGCGTTAACGCATTGTGATGTCGTCACTTTTCTGTGAACGAAATCATTTCCCTTCTATGTCATTTTTGAAGGACTCTTTTTTTTAGATTGAGTACAACTTTGAATACCTACAGTGTCCGGTGCGATATGTCAGAGAAGTGACAAAGAATGGCGGCGATATACAGCCAATGTTTGCTCTAAATGTGAGTACCGAATCAAATGGCCGCTGCTGAGACTTTTTTCTTCATATTTTTAATGCAAAACATACGAAGAAGACATTTTCTTTTCCCGTTTCTGATTTCAGATGATGGTTCGCCACGGTAGAGTAGAATGCCTGTCTCACAAATTATGTCGAACATACCTCACCATGAAATGGCAAATACCCCATTCTTTTGCTCAAAATAAATGCTTCTTGATATGCCGATCATTTCATTTCATAAGTGAGACTGAAATAAAGTTAAAATTTTTGAAAGCTTAACATCTGATACTTAGTGTTTTTGTATACTTTCAGGCGAGCTTACGGTATGTGGGTACACTCGATCAACCTGATTCTATATGTAGCATACCTTGCTATGCTGACATTACTTGCCACAAAAGATTTCACGTCACACGCACCCATCGCCAATCTAAGCCACAATGTAACACAGCATACAGAAACCAAACCAAATGAAGTAAAATGCCATTTATTCAATATTTAATATTTTTCAATATCTACATTATATAAAGTAGGATAAAGACATACTTGACAGCTCTCTTGTTTCTTTTCCACAGATCAGCACCATGTATCGGCTTGTGACGGGAGTTTTGTTTATATTCACAATCCTCAACATTATAAAGGAAATAGTGCAGATGGCACAGCAGGTGATTAATACGATATGTATTATTTCTATTTGCTCCTGATTTGATAGACGGGGAGAAAAAATATTAACAGTTAGTTTTGTGTGTGATTGATTCGTAAATTCATTGTTTACAATAAGTATAGTTGTATGGGCCATGGAGAAAAATTGCAAGAAAAAAAATTCCTCAAATTTCAAATCCAACATGTACGAAACCCCTAAAGCCTCTTTGTCTCTCACAAACTTATGTGTGTCTGTTACAGCGTATTCGGTACTTCGTAGACGCCAACAATCTCCTTGAGTGGGTGTTGTATGTCTCCACAGCCGTTTTTATCGCCCCTGTTTTGTTCAATATTTCAAACTCTCTCAACATGGAGGCGGGAGCTATAGCTGTATTCCTGGCCTGGTTCAATTGTCTTCTCTTTCTTCGACGGTACGTTAGCAACAAGATGTCAGCTATCGGTGATATTGTTAAGTATTTGCCTTATTAATAGGAAAGTTTCTAAGATTACTAGTATGTTTTTTATGTATTCTTTATTCAAATATGTTTTGATAATTATAAGAATATTAACATTTCCAATGATGTATCAATAATTACAAATCAAATCCGTGGTTATAGCTTCAACTATATCTCATGTGACCTCTAAATGTCATTTAGTATTCATTACGTCAGAGTAGGCGGGAATAATATATGAATCAGAGGGAGTGATATATACCTCAGTGTGAGAATGAAATATATGGAGATAACGAACAGTATTCAAGCTCAAAAGTCCATTAAACAATACAAAATAGGAGCAGAGCAAACACGGACCTCCAAAACATCAGAGGTGGGATCAGATTGCCATGGAGGAGTGAGCATCCCCTGCCGACCGTCATACCCGCCGTGTGCTCCTTGTCATGATCGGGAAGTTACGGAAAAATCCGTCGACAATTCAGTGTGTAAATAATGGTCTAACAATTAGTATGAAAAACGTCAGTCAGCATAGAATGTGATAAAAAAAAAAAGAGTGTTTAATCATAGTTCCTGTGAAATGTGCCTACCTGTATATGTATGAGGCCTAAACTTCTTTCCTGCACTATTAATAATTGATGTAAATAACATTTGCCATTTGAATTTACATGTAGGTTTGATATATTTGGTATTTACGTGGTGATGTTCCTAGAGATTCTGGCTACCCTGTTGCAGGCTGTGTGCGTCTTCTCTATCCTTCTTGTCGCCTTTGGATTGGCATTCTCCATTCTTCTAAAGCATGAGGTAAGACCTCATGGAATACACACAGCAAAATTGAATTGTTCATGAATTTCAGTTATTTATCATGATTTTCTAACTTAAATATGGATGATGTATTGTATATTATAGTAGGTTCAACTTTGTACTGCAATGTTGTTTTCTCTATATAATCCGATTCATTCGCATCCAATGACGATGCATGGGTGCACGAAGATTTCATGGCTTTCAATGGTCTTGCTGCATCGTTTCTAAATCCTTCATACTTTTTTACACAGGAGAGCAGGGCCTACTCCACTCCTCTCATGTCGATTGTCCGGGCCTCAATGATGATGCTGGAGTTGGATTACATGTCATCGTTTAATGAGCCTTATTTTGATGATAATTCCTCCACCCTACCTTATTCCACTCTCACCATCATCTTCCTTCTTGTCTTTGTCCTTCTGATGCCAATCTTGCTCGTCAACCTTTTGGTAAGCTCACTGTTGTTATTGATTTTGCCCAGCCAATACCAAAGGCTGTTGACATTCGTTCGTCAGCACGTTGGTGGATCCATCTTGTAATCAGTAAAGCATGATCACTAGACAGGTTATGTTTCCATGTGAACTTTGTACATCATCTTATCCTCTATTGTAGATTGGTTTAGCTGTCGGTGACATTGAAGCCGTTCTGAGAACTGCAACTCTGAAACGACTGGCCATGCAGGTTAAACACGTTTATTTTTTAAGTTTGTACGATTTCCTGATAGTTCCTAATACATTTATTACTTGATTTCAGATATAATCCTTTATTTTGATTTATGAGGTTGCTTATTAATGTGTTGTATCTAAATATATGTAGGTTGAGCTTCACACAGAACTGGAGCGCCGTCTACCGGCCAGACTTCTAGAGAAGGTAGACAAAATGAAGTACAAAGAATATCCCAATAAGTGTGGGAAAATGGTCAAGGTAATATGCTTAATTCTGGTTTGATAATGTTATTATTTTTTCTCCGCCTGAAAGGAAATTTATCAGAGTTTTATCTGTAGGTTTTCAAAAACATGATGGAAGCAGAGGCAGCAAGTCCATCGATGTGTGGCGGCGAGGAACCTGGCTTTCTTAAAACAGAGCTCTTTAAGCAAAAAAATAGGTTGGAGATTCAAAATTATATTTTTAACTTTTTTTGAAATTTATTTCAACTCAGTTTTACATCCTCCTACCAATCAAAAACTTATCTATATTTGTATTATTTAAGCATTTGAACCGGTTTTATACTTAGGTTGAAAGAGATATCTATGAACATGGAGCGTAATTATGACATGCTGAAACTGATTGTTCAGAAAATGGAGATCGAGACAGAAGCAGATAACCATGATGAAGGGGTTCATACGTCACAAAGTCTTGACATCATCAATCCTGCGTCATCCAAATGGAACTCTGACGTCCTCAAAAAGAATCTCGTGCGTCAAAACGCCATCATCTCAAAGTGGAAAGGAAAATCAGAACATTCGGTCATTCAAGGCAGTTTTGATTGCTGATGACTAAAATTCCATTCCTTTTCAATCGTGTGAAAAAAAAACTCACGAGATGCGCTCGTAAAGTCCGCCAGGAGTAAATATAAGGCTAGCCCAAAAATACCTATTCTCTCCAAGTCTTTGTGATGTACAACAATGTGTTGCTGACTTTGGTGTTGTCATATTATTTTATTTTATGAACACGTGACTTGAAAGTTTAACAAAATATAGCAAGTTGAATTTCTGGATACTCTCCTAATCAGTCTCTGTGATTGCCAGATAAATAAAAGTATAAATCGCTAAATGATGCTTAGTTTGTAACAAAACATAGGCAGTGTGTAAAGCATAACCCATTAAGAATAAAGCAAAAAAAGACTTGCTGGAAGAAGACGATATCTTCGTGTCCTTCCTTTTAATACACATTGTAATTAAGTGTAGGAGTAAATGACGGTTGCGATGAAACATAGGTTGTCTAGTCTTAACATCTGCTGTCTGATAATGTTAACAATTACATTCGGCTTGAGCATCACTGAAGAGACATAATTTGTCAAAATGCGCATCTGGTGCATCAAAATTGGTACCGTATATGATATACATTATGTCCCCTGGGTCGAGGCCTCTGCTGATGGACTGTTAGTCCCCGAGGGTCTCTACAGCCCAGTAACCTAGTACTTCGGTACTAGCTTGAAAATACGGATATATATTCAATTTCGGTGGTAATATTTAGGAATTTTTTTTTTAAAATCAATGATTTTCTCCCTCAAGCATAACTCTGATCCTTCAACGTATTTGGCTCCAATCTTTGGCACCTTTTTCAGCTCTTCCAAGTCTTTTTTATTTAAATATTTTAGATTTCCAAAGTTTCGGCTCGAACATCACTGAAGAGACATAATTTGTCGAAATGCCTATCTGGTTCATCAAAAGTGGTACTGTATATGATTAACATTAATGGTAACCTAACAACCAAGCTTTATGATAAACGTGATGACTTCAGATTTTCAATCTTCAACTTCCCTTATTTATGTAGCAATATACCCTTATCACCTGCACATGGGGTTTATGTCTCTCAGTTGATTCGATACACAAGAGCATGCTCTACGTATGAACAATGTCTAAAACGAGGCAAGCTATTTACAAACAAGTTGACGGAACAAGGATATCAAAAGTCTCGTTTGAAGTCATCTTTTTGCAAGTTTTTCGGTCGATACAATGACCTTGTCAGCACATACAACCTATCATTGAGTCAAATGCTGACTGACGTTTTTCATACTAATTGTTAGGCCATTATTTATACACTGAACTGTCTACGGATTTTTCCGGTTTCTGTTTCCCGATCATGATAAGGAGCACACGGCGGGTGTGACCGGTCGGCAGGTGATGCTTACTCCTGCATGGCACCTGATTCCACCTCTAATTTTCGAGGTCCGTGTTTGCTCTGCTACAAATTTGTATCGTTTCATTGGACTTTTGAGATTAAATACTGTTCATTATCTTCATATTATATATACAGGTAAATCAAATTTAGATACAAAAAAATTCTGTTTCAAACTTTATTTTATATTAAAAAAAGAAATTGTTAAGAAGTTTGTCATCATACCTCATACAAATAAACACCTTATTCTTTCACGATCAGTCTATGTACTTTTTAAATGAACGTCGGTAGACCTCAGTATAATAAAGTTAATTTCATAATTTATTGGTGAAACCATAAGTAACTAGGTGCTGGAAAATAGAACTGTCATCATCATTTTATTTCGTCAGAAATGTTTGGATGGACGCAGATTCGGGTTAATCAAATTGTTATGCAATCATCAGGTGCTTGTGATAACCGGTATTAATCTAATCTAAATAAAACGATGAATGTTTAGTTTTATTTGTCCTCCAGTAAGTGATATTGGAAAACTTGAAACAAACCCTGATCCAGAATTCTGTTCAGAGACAGTCGCGCGGGAATCCTTCCATTAACATCGATGCTTGGTGAAATATTAGACGCCTTTGATTGGAATTATGAGAAAAATTTAGGATTATTAACTTTTCAATAGATGCAATCAAGGCACGCAACTGAATTTGAAAACAAATAATGATTTATTTGATGTAAATTTTATTAATCCCCCAAAAAACTGTTCCGCCATTAATTACGGTTTCCTGATCTTTTAGGAACTAGGAAATTGTATAAGCTGTTCGGTGGGGGATTTGGGTGAGCTATAAACAGTCTTTAAATGATGATTGACTGATCATAGCAGTTTTGATTAATTTCCCCTAAATGGCCGAGTTTTTGCAACGATTGACGATGTATAAAACAATAAATTTCATAAATTCTGCGTCTAATTTCAGTACAGTATAATTGTTTAATTATGAAGGTTACACAATTATTACAATTTAAACCTATTTAATTCCGTTGATAATGGAAAATGGTTGTTTGGCAGAAGAGCGAAATAAGACTGATATAATTTCCTTTATTAAACTCGAGTGTCCCAAAAATGCATGTGGCGCCTGCTATATAACATCATTAAAGATAAGAGTTGTCAGATACATGATTTTATTTACTAGAATTCAAAAGAGATTTCTGTCTTTTGAAATACAATCCATTTTGGTATACCGACCCGATAAATATTGTATTTTCATAGAACATGTATTTAAAGATTTCAGTTGATATGGTGACTATACATCATACAGTTTCAAAGTACAGCGTCTTTTATATATATACGCGGCTAGGATAAGGCTGTCCGAAGAATGTCACAGTGTACCAGCCGCAGTAACTTCTCTGAACCACCTAGATATGACGTCATAATGGCATATGACGTCAAGTCACTGCAAATTTGAGCAGACATGACGGGGAAAGTGTCATAACTTTTACATTCCTTTCACATCAAATGTAGAATTTTTTACGTTGATGTTTAATTCACTTGTCTGGATGGTTGTGTTGAGGCTGTTATGATGGTGAATATTTGCAGTATAATATCGTTATTCCTTTTTCTTGTCTAACATGTACGTATTCAAACAATTACAAAAAAGAATGTGAAATGCTCCCCCTTACACGACCGTAGACAGAGTTAGAATTTATAAATCTTATATATATTAGACTGGCACAAGTGAATAATTAAAGATATTCTGTGTGAATCTACTAGAGAAATATGTCCTCTAACTGAATTTTGCTGGGGGATTGTATGTAATTTATCCCATTTTGTATAAATTGCGATGAAGAGTGGAAAATGACCCCTTGTATGTGGGCAAGTTGAATTTCTCGTGAAATATTTTCTTAGAGAAATAAAATTCAGACTTGCCCCCAGCACTTTATATATACCCAAGAATACGTTTAATTGATTTATGTAACAAGCCGTTCACAATAAATTTGTTTTTCAGTTGTGCCGATGCGATTTTTGTGCAACATTTAAGAAATATTATAAGTCCGTCAACACAGTCATGTGACATCACAGAAATGCTTTTTTATAATACCTTATTCAACTCTCTTTACAACTTAATTGTGTATGTATACTTAGATTACAAATTGAAATCAAAACATAGCTCAAAATAAAATAGTATATATCTAATGCATATTAAGCCTTCAGACAGCCTTAACATAGCTGCGTATATATATATATATATAAATATATATATATATATATATATATATATATATATATATATATATATATATATATATATATATATATATATATATATATATATATATATATCTGCTAGTTTTTGAAACTACCCCTCAAAATTCGTTCGGAGTATTTTTTTTTAAAAGTAGGTCACTGATCAAGGTCAAGTGGACTATGACAGTTGTATTTTTCATAATATCTTATGCCAAATAGTGCACATGTTAAATAGCAGAATGTAATTTAAAAAGTAGGGTAGGTCAAAGGTCAAGTTCAAGGGACATAAGATAGGTAACCTTGGTATTTTACAAAACCATAGTACCAAGCGATATATGTGCCAAATATCAAATCCATAGCTTTTTACAATTCTCAAAGTATAAGGCGTAACAAACGGATAGACGGACGGAAAGCTAAACACACAGACAAACAAACGCCTGAGAAAGTGGCCCCTTGGTGTCGCTCTGAAGACGACACAAAAATTACTGAGTCCAACAAAGAAAGGTTAAATTATGGAATTGACTTTTAAGGATCTCTTAAAATGGAAATACAACAATATTCAGAAATGTATGAGAACATATTTTTTTCACCTATCGAAAATAAATCAAATATATTTTTAAAAAAAAACCCTTTTCTTTAGACAAATAAACATTAACTTAAAAATACAGGAAAAAGGGTAAACATGACGCCCAAGGTCGGCAGTAGTTGATCGGGGAGAAGTGCCACTGCTGAGCGAATAATTACCATTAAAAACAAGCCAAACATGTAATGTGTAATATTTGTTTGTATGTTGTTTAACGTCCCTCTCGAGAATTTTTCACTCATATGGAGAGGCCACCACTTGGCGGTGGAGAGCTGCAAATTTTATCCTATGCTCGGCACTTACGACCATTGAGCAGTGAGGGATCTTTATCGTGCCAGCACCTACTGCGACACGGGACCTCGTTTTATACGGTCTCATCCGAAGGACAGGTCTCCACGTCCCACAGTGGGATTTGAACCCGCAACGTAAGGATCAACTCCTTACTTCGCGACTCTAGAGCAGACGCTCTAACCACTGCGCCACGCAGGCGACTGTAATGTGTAATATATGTTTTAAAATGCATGTTTACCAGTAACATGTATGAGGTACATAAGTTTTTAAACAATTAAAAATATTTATTTACTCTCGAATTGAAACGTCGCACTTTGGTTTAACCGTGACACGTGACTGCCAGTTACATTTCTATGTCCAGTAGGTGAGAATTAAAATCTGGCAATGTGGCCGACGTCGTTTAATATACATTGTTGCATATTCATTTCATTATTAGAACTCATGTATTACTGAAGTTCAGTATTTATTTTTTTTTTAATTAGAGTAGTAGCCCTTTTGGAAATGAAATATGAATATAATGAATAACTATCATTCTAAAAAGTCCATTTAAACAATACAAATTGTGGACAGAGACAACACGGACCTCTGACAACAGAGATGGGATCATGTACCATGGAGAAGTAAGCATCCCCTCTCAACAGGTCACACCAGCCGTGTGCTCCGTGTCATGTTCGGATGAACGAAAAATCCGTAGACAATTCATTAAAAATAATGGCCTAAAAATTTGCAAAAAGACGTCAGTCAACACTCGCTTAACAAAACAAATATGTCAGACATTATGTGGTGTCTTTCATTCCGAGTTCGTTGGGATATATCGAATCAACGAAGGAATGAAACTAAATATTGTTAATTGATAAAACGTCA